AATTTCTTCTGTGACACATTGGTTTTTAAAGAATTTTTTGTTTAATTTCCAAATGTTTGTGAATTTTCTAATTTTCTTCTATTACTGATTTCTAGCTTTATTCTACTGTAAGAATAAATTTCAGTATGCGTAGAAGTTTTTCAGTTAAGAATAATGTTTAACTTGATTAAACATGATTAATCATGTTAATGATAACATGAGTTAATCATGAGTAACATGTTAAGCATGAGTAACAAAAACTTAGAAACAGTGCCTTAAATCGTAATATTGTGGTTTCATGATGTCATCAGGGGCCCAGATTCCTTTTCTTTATGGACAGCCATCCTCAGCATGAGTATGTTACTGAAGGGTAACACCAGATGGACTTTATATCTCCAGGCATCACATGTATTCCAGGCTGGAGTGCAGTGATGTGATCTCCGCTCATGCAACCTTCACCTCCTGGGTTCAAGTGATTCTCCTGCCTCAGCCTCCCAAGTAGCTGGAACCACAGGCATGTGTCACCATGCTCAGCTAATTTTTTGTATTTTTAGTAGAGACAGGGTTTCACCGTGTTAGCCAGGATGGTCTCGATCTCCTGACCTCATGATCCACCCACCTTGGCCTCCCAAAGTACTAGGATTACAGGTGTGAGCCACTGCACCTGACCGTTGGCCTCTGTTTTAAGATACTCTCTCAGCAACTTCCAATTATGTCTAGTTGGCCAAAATTTTGTCACATGGCCACTCCTGTCTGCAAAGGAGGCTAGAAGATGTAGCGCTTTTGATAGGGTATATTTCTGCCCCTTAAAAAATGTAAGCTCTTGAGATAATACATTTTAGGAAGGCAACTAGCATTTTCTGTCACAGAGAGCAAGAGACTACTTAGGATACCACTGCTTGGGGAAACATGATGGTGGCTTGTTCTATAGTAGTAGGGGGGTTGATGGGAAAAGGTGATTGGATATATATGCACATAATTATATATATAATATATATATCCAATATATATTAATATATAAATTATATGTATATAATTTTTTTTAGACAGGGTCTCACTCTGTTGCCCAGGCTGGAGTGTAGTGGTATGATCATACCTCACTGCAACCTCCCACTCCCGGGCTCAAGTGATCCCCCACCTCAGCCTCCTGAGTAACTGGGACCATAAGCTACACCACCACATCTGGCTAATTTTTTGTAGTTTTTGTAGAGACAAGGTTTTTCCATGTTGCTCAGGCTGATCTCAAACTCCAGGACTCAGGTGATCCGCCTGCCTCAGCCTCCCACAGTGCTGGGATTACAGGTGTGAGCCACCGTGCCTGGTCATACTTGATCTGCTTTGAAGGCAGCAGCCACAGGACTTAATGCGGGATTCGTTATGGAAAGGAGAAGGAGAGGAATACAAACTCTTAGGTTTCTGGCCTAACAATTCCAGAGATAGAAGCATCATCAACTGAGAAGAGGAAAAACAGAAAGCCTAAGGGTTTTCTTTTTTGGGAGTGTGGTGCCTAATCTAAAATTGTATTTTATATACATTAAATTTGAGATAATCATCATACAGCTAAAGGGAACTCAATATTCTCTTGAATATCTCTGAGCTATTTAGAATCTTTTCCAAGGATCACCCTCCTCCTACATTCCTCAGAAATATTTCTATTTACGTTGGAGTTAGTTCCATTTGTTCTTATTGATTCTTCACTTACATATATCAATTTTTCTCATATACATGGTAAACTTCGTTTTATGTTTATAAATGGAAGGGTATGTTGATTGTATAGGTATGCTCTGTCCATGTGCTGGGCAGGCTTCCCTGGAGGGTGTGTAGGGATGGAAGACGGTAGGTAGGATCACTGAGTTCTCTACATTTCCAAAGAACCAGTGTGTTTCCTGGATGGAACTCCCTTTTTTTCAAATCCCCTTTTAGTTTTCTAATTTGGAAGTGTGAGTCTCAGCAGTCCTTACTCTGCTTCCCTGTCAAGGCCCAAAACTTATATCTCTGCATAGGAATATGCCATATTATCCTTAGAGAACAGTTTTTTGATGTTTGGGAGAGTGACTGGGAAAAGAGTGTGGCCAGCAGTGTTTGATCTGTGTGCATAGAGAAAGAAAGGGGTGATAACGAAGGGTCCAAGAGGTCTAGCTGTTCCAAATGCAGCTCTTTAATAACTATGGACGTTCCCGTGATCTGATTTTCTTTGTGTATGCTGAGCGTGATGGTTAATATTAGGTGTCAACTTAACTGGATTGAGAGATGACTAGAGGGCTGGAAAAGCATTGTTTCTGGGTGTGTCTGTGAGGGTGTTGCCAGAGGAGACTGACATTTGAGGCGGTGGACTGGGAGAGGAAAACCCACCCTCAATGTGGGTGGGCACTGTCCAGTTGCTGCCAGCTCAGCTAGAACAAAGCAGACAGAGGAAGAGGGATGAGCTTGCTTGCTGAGTCTTCTGGCTCACTCCCTCTTCCCTTGCCAGATGCTTTGGTTCCTCTTCTCCTGCCCTGGGACATCAGACTCCAGGTTTTTCGGCCTTTGGACCCTGGGACTTGCAGTAGCGGTCTCCAGGGGGCTTTCAGGCCTCAGCTACAGACTGAGGGTTGCACTGTTGGCTTCCCTGGTTTTGAGGCTTTCGAACTTGGACTGAGCCACTACTGGCTTCTCTCTTTCTCCAGCTTGCAGATAGCCTATCGCAGGAATTCGCTGTGTAATCATGTGCGCTATTCTCCCTCATAATCTCCCTTTTATATATACATATATCCTGTTGGTTCTGTCCCTCTGGAGAACCCTGATTAATACACTGACTTGGAATGTATTGCTTCTCAGGCCCCCCTGATTTTACATCTCTAATAACTATTGTTTAAGGTTATGGTTTTTCTGATTGGGGTTTTCCATTAAGTCAATTATATCTACTCTCATATTTTCTGAATTTTCTCAAAGTTCAAGATCCTGGTAGCTCACCTTACTGATTTCCAGTATTGCCATGGTTCTTTCTTTGTGAAATAATATTTTCTGTTAATGTACTGGCACCTTGGGAGATAGGAGAGTAGACTCACATGTTCAGTCTGCCATCTTGAAGCTCCTGTATTGATTTGTTAAATTGTCTCTTCCTAGCTCCCTAACATGCATACCTAGAGCATTCCCCCAATGTTACTTTACTGAAGCTTTTTATTTATGAAAGTATTATATGTTCATCTAATCAATAATGCCCAGTTAAACAGAGTAAACGTTAATAGCATCCTCCTTCCTCTCCTCCAGGGCTACTCCCATGAGAAAACAATGTAAGCATTTTGAATCCATTCACACATTTGTCCATGCTTGTAGTAGGGGGGATTTTTGGTTTGCTTTGTTTGTTACAAAAATGAAATTATATTTTTCTACTACTTGTTCTTTCACTTGTTTATCATACATGTGTCTTTTTTAGATTTTTCTATTAAATTCATTTAAAGCAATAAACTTTCAAATGTTATAATGTCAACTGTGTTTAAGAGAGATTTGGGAGAAATTTAAGCAAAGAAAAACAAAAGGAACAAAAGAATAGGTATGGAAGTACAAGATGTATGTCAAGAATTCAGAGTTAGACACATTTGGCTGGAGGAGAGGAACCATACTGGCAAATATTGAGAAACTTGCAGAGACAATACAGAGTTGGTGTGTGAGGACAATGAGTGGGAAGCCACTGAGGCTTTAAGAATAGGGTCATTTATTAACTGCTTAATGTTAATTAAACCTTAAAACAACCTAAAAGTATCTCTAATAAAAATGTTACTCATTGAATTGTTATTTTACTTAATTTAGTCCATAGTGAAGCCTCTACAGACTAAAGGAGATAATGTATAGGAGAGTCATTTGAAGTACCAAGTGTTCTGTAAAGAGATGTGTCACGTTTTCTCTCTGTATGAGCTGGCAGTGTGGATGCACATTCTGATGCTTCTAAAGCCACTCATTCTCCCTCACTGCTATCAGGATTGTGTGAGGAACTGAGTACCCAATGAAAACTTTGGACACCTAGGATTTAAGCTACTAATCATCTGGGTAACTTGGGACAAGAAACTTCAGCTTCAGATTCTGTGTAAAATAAGAACTAGAACTGGATTATCTCCAAAACACTTCCATTTCTAAAAATTCAATGGTTTTGTGATCCTGTAATGGTTCTCATACATCTTGATTTAATACTCAAGTATTTCTTTAGGGAGTTTTACTTCTTCATTTAACAGTGACAGGTTGATAATCACTGAAAATGCTATCTATGGCTGGGCGCGGTGGCTCATGCCTGTAATCCCAGCACTTTGGGAGGCCAAGGAAGATGGATCACTTGAGGTCAGGAGTTCAAGACCAGCCTGGCCAACATGGCAAAACCCTGTCTCTACAAAAAATATAAAAATTAGCCAGATGTGCTGGCACATGCCTGTAATCCCAGCTACTCAGGTGGCTGAGGCACAAGAATCGCTTAAACCCAGGAGGCAGAGGTTGCAGTGAGCCAAGATCACACCACTGCACTCTGGCCTGGGCAACAGAGCAAGACTGTCTCAAAATAATAATAAATAAATAAATAAATAAAATGCTATCTCAATATACTATGAGCTGCCATGTATTGTCTAAAGGTATCTCACAGCCTTTTAAAAATCAGGTTACATTTCTTCTGACAATTCTATTTTATTTTTACTTTTGTTTCTACTTGAAGTTGCTGTGCATTATTTTGAGTTTACAAATTCAATATAAATCAGATTACATTTCTTCTGACAATTCTATTTTATTTTTACTTTTGTTTCTGCTTGAAGTTGCTGTGCATTATTTTGAGTTTAAAAATTTAATAGGGTGACTATTATAATACCAACGAAGCTAATATTTCACATAATTATATTTCATATAATATTATATATATACAGATTTCTTTCATAATTGGCAAGTATAGTTATGATAAAAATATTTAGGTTTAAAAATTTTATACCTCTAATAACTATTGCAAGAATAAAATGATCTTGATACTCTTACAAGTAATCTAAAATTAGAACTTCTTTTTTTATAAGGTGGCTTTTTCACCAAAAGAATATAATTCACCATCTTTCAGACCAGAATATATAGAATTCAAACCAAAATTTCAGGTGAGTCCTGAATTATTCTATCCCAATATCATTATACTTAATTACTAGGTTTCTTCAATACTTTAATTCAATAGTTCTAAAAAGCTACTCATTAGAAACACCTGGCTATTGTAAAAAATACACATTTCCAGGTCCATTTCTGACCTAATGAATCTCAACCTAGAAACAGAACCTGGGAATTTGTATTTCTCAAAAAAGAAAACAAAAAAATAAAAAAAACTAAGGGGATTCTTAATTTGTCATCTGGGTATCCACTAGAATTTGAAAACCAGTTATAATAAGTTGCATCCATTAAAAATAATTTTGAACTACTAAGTTGAAATAAAATAAGACAAATAGTAGGCTGATTCTTTCACATTTTGCTTTCTTTTAGTTAGATAACACAGAAGTATGAAAAAAGAGTTTCAATAAGAATTTTTATTCTGAAGGCTGTTTCAATGACAGAAGAGCCTGATCCCAGAGCTAAAAAGCTGCTTATGAATATTACACTGAAATTTTACTGTAATCCTGAGTTTTCTATATGGTTCTCCCTTATCCATTTCTGGGGCATTATACAGTATGCATCAAAAAGCAAGATTAAACTGTGACATGTTAAGGACTGGGTGGAGCTCATTATCATTGTTGAAACTCTCAGACTTAAAGGCAGATGATATATGCCCCCAAGTCAGTTTTCAGAGAATATTTGATACTTTTCGTGAGTTTCATTTCAGTACTTTTCACTACTTGCTTGAATTAAAAAAAAAAATATTTCCTACATTGCTATGAATGTAGCAAATATTTAGGTAGCTGAGACTTGGATCCTGATGTTAGCCACTGTCTAAGGAAATGAAGCTAACACTAGAAATTAAGTTCTTAACAATAAACTATTTATGGATGGCTTTTTAAGTATTAAAAATATTCCAAGTAGCAAAAAGCACTTGGACACAAAATAGCATCAGAATTAAGAATTTGAAATTTTTCCATTAAAATATTTTATTTCAATTTCAAATATTTTAAAATAATTAAAGTTGATTTTCTCCCTTTGTGGAGGGTAGGAGAGTGAATAGATACATTGACAGATTGCTCAAAGAAAATTAACTAGAAAATGTATAATAAATTCAAAATCATTGCTACCAAATGTCTTACCTTTTTTTTTTTTTTTTTAACATTGCAGTTTCAGAAAGTCAACAAGAACGGTTTTGATCCTTTTCTAAGGAATATAAACAAAATGTCAGTCAATAAAAGAAAAGATCAAGATATATACAAACGTAGAAACATTTTAGGTGCAGAGGTTATAGAGCACGAAGACCAGGATCCTCCTTATCCAGCACAATCAAAAACTGCAGGACCTGCTAATAAAACCTGGGCCCATGACCCTAATATCTTCACAACAAAGACGTCAGAAACTGAGAATAAGTTAGCCCCTGACCCTACTATCAATACGATAAAGGGTGTAGATGCAAAGAATAATTTAAAAGAAAATCTACCAAATGTATCTTTACCAAGTTTCAAAGGAGAATCATCAAGGGCTGGAAATGTACATGCAAATACATGTCCCCTCTCAAAGTCTTTAAATTTTACCCCCCAGATAGAATATTTAAAACAATCAATGATACTCAAGTCAGTTTTAAGTAAAAATCTGCAAGACCTTTCAGACAAATTATTTTCTAAACCAGAAGTTAGTATGAACAGTGAAGCAAGAGAGGAAAGTAGTTCTCTACTTATAAGCATTCATGATAAATCATCAAGTAGTATGGAAGACAACGTATTGGGAAAAAAACAAGATTTAAACAACTGGCTTTCAGAAAAAGACATTTTAAATTCAAAGACTATTTTAAGTCAAATAATTAAAAATATTCCTGTGGATTTATTTTCAGAAGGTAGTCAAATAACTGAAAATATTCCTGCAGATTCACTTTCAGAAGGTGGTCAAGTAATTAAAAATATTCCTGAATATTCACTTTCAGAACAGGGTCAGATAATTAAAAATATTCCTGCAGATTCCTTTTCAGAAGGTGGACCAGGACAATCTCCGGAGGTAGAAGAACATGTCTCTAAAACACACTTCGAAGCTGATGAGAGAGATTTTCCAATTAAAAAAAAGAGTAGTATCAAAAAGAAACATTTAATAAGTGAAGTACCTAACTCCAAATCAGGTTCAAGTGGCACTGTACATGACTACATTATAAGGCAAATATTCACTGCACCAATATTCTCAGAATTGGAGATAGAAGTGAAAGAGCCAAGTGAAACACCAATGAACTTGGAAAATCAAGTACCTACACCTTGGAAGAGAAGTTTGTCATCACATATTCTACTTCATGAAGATAATGCTGATAAAATAGAATTGCCACAGCCCAGATCTGCTATAAGCCAGATAATACAAGCATTTCCTATAGATACGCTTTTAGAATCTGGGATAATCAAAGTGATAGAATTAGATAAAGAACGCCGTAAGAGTTCTTTGCTGGGTACGGGGATCACTTCTCCTAAAGGAAAGCTGAAGGATTCCCAAGAGTATTATTCAGAAATCAGAAGCGAGACAGAACCTCTTTCTGAGCAGAATATACCCATCATTCCCGAAGACACTACTTCTGTTAGTAGAGTTGAATTTATACAGGAAGACCAAAATATGTTCCCACAAGATTCAAGTTATTATTCAATAGCAAATAAAGAACTGGATTTGCCAAGAAGTGGTCAGAGGCTTGGTAAAGACGAAAATGACCTCAGTTCTACTTTAGAAAGTTTAACTAACTCATTAATGGATAAACTTAATGAATCAGATGAAATAATGTTAAAATCCTTTTTAAAAAACATCTTCAACGTTTTTTTCAAATATAGTCAATCTGAAAGAAGAGGACAACCAGAAAGAGAATTAGAAAGACTAATTCAACCTTCTTTTACAAGTGACACAGAACACCTTAAAGAAATCCAAGAGAATTTTGATAAAGTAGACAAATTAGACAGAAAACATATTTTGAGTTCAAAGTTGCGTGTGTTTCTAGAAGAACTCTCAGAGTCAGAAGTAAAAAATTTAAAATCTGAATTAAGTAAACAAATCCAGCATTACCTTGTAGAAAGACTTTCAGAATCAGGACATATCACCAAGGAGGACTTACCAAAAATCTACCGAAATCTGTATCTGATGAATGAGAAGGTAGAGCGGAAAGGGCCAAACAGTTTTCAGGGGAAATATTCTGAAACTGTGAAAGAAATCATGTCTTTTGTCAAAAATTTCAATCATCATTTCATAGATAAACATTTAGAAATAAAGCTAAGGTCTTTTTTAAATGAGATTCTCCAAAACTATTTCCTAAAAAACATTTCAGAAAGCAGTTTATTTAATGAGACAGAATCTGAGACTATATACCCAAATATGTCTTCTCTAAGGACTAAAAGTGTCTCACTTTCTTTTCACGAACTAGAACAAGATATTTCAAAGGGGAGTTTTGGTAGAAGGTTTGAAATAAACATGAAATATCCTTTAAGTAAATCTCTACAAAACTATCTGATAGCTTTATCAGAAAATGAATTATTACATCTAAAAGCTGATTTAAGCAAACACCTCCAGGGTCTTTTTTTAGAAAAACTTTCAAAATCAGGACTAATGACAAAAAGGCAATTAGAAGGGATCAACCAGCATATAAATTTGCTTAATTCTAGTTCTATACCATTAAAATATATAAAGACACATTTACCTTTTAGAGATGACCATCACTTTGTGGAGAAGCATTCAGAAAAGCAAAATAAATATTCAAGAATTGTTCAACAAACCACTTTACAAATGGTTTCTGAGGATAAACTTAGAGAAACAGAACTGATTCGAGAGAAAGAAAAGAAATATTTCCCCTTACAGAATTTAAAAGAAAATTCATCTTTAATTAGGGAACAGAAAAGTTATTACACTAAAGAAGAAGCTAAAACACCAAGTTTAATCAAAGTACAACCTTCTTCCAATAAAAATACCCAGGCAAGTTCATTAAACAGTTCATCAGAAACACTTACAGATATACTGCTTAAGAAACTAAGGAAAGAACATGTATTTATGCAGCTTCCTCAAGCAGAAAATTCTGTTCATAAAACACAGATTCAAGACCCATATAGTTGGGGTGGTAAATCAAAAATAACTCAATCAAAAGCTTGGTGTGAAAGGACACAGAAAATGAAGTCCCTTGATAGAAAGGAGCATGTAAACATCTATAAATGGACTGTTCAGGAAAAACCTGAAGCAGTATTAACATCGTATCCAAGAATTCCTAATGCCAGAATGCCAAGGGAAGATGAGTACGTAAACAGACTCACTTTTCCTTCCTGGCAAACTAGCACTTTAACTCATTTCAATACAGAGACTGAGGAAAAATCAAAATTAGAAGACCAGTATTGTCAGAGACTGAAAGGAAATAATAACAATAATAAAAAACATTTAGTAACATTTGCACAATACAAAAAAGAAATACAAACTCTTTATATAAAACCAGATGAAATTTGCAGTGAAAAATGTGCCAAGTTCCCTGAAATACAGTCATTCCAATATAAAGATGTAGAAAATGAGAAAAACTCGAAACCATCCCTCTTCCCAGAATTATTTAAGAGAGAAGATCTAAAACCCAAGGTCCGAAAAGAAAGAGACCGTGTCGCCAAACCAAAAAAGTCATTTAACAAGATAGTCAGGATACTGCCAACCACACTGCCCACCACAAGAATTCACCTAAAGAAGTCTGTTCCAAGGACGCTGCTTCACTGGACTGCAAGAACTACTATACATGTAATGATGTTTTTCTAAGTCTTCTACTTCTGTATTTGACAAAGTTCTGGCAATAATTTAGGGTGTGTGTATCTGCATCCAACTGTGTGTATAACCTTAATTACCCCCAAGACATACAGACCACCAATTTAAAAATTCCTCTGAAAGGTCGGGCGCAGTGGCTCACGCCTGTAATCCCAGCACTTTGGGAGGCCGAGGCGGGTGAATCCGAGGTCAGGAGATCGAGACCATCCTGGCTAACATGGTGAAACCCCGTTTCTACTAAAAATACAAAAAATTAGCCGGGCGTGGTGCGGGCGCCTGTAGTCCCAGCTACTCAGGAGGCTGAGGCAGGAGAATGGTGTGAACACGGGAGGCGGAGCTTGCAGTGAGCCGAAATCGCGCCACTGCACTCCAGCCTGGGCGACAGAGCGAGACTCCATCTCAAAACAAAACAAAACAAAAAATTCCTCTGAAACTTAAATATCACCTCACCTGATTCAAAATGCAATCACAAAATCAGGGAGACTGTTAACACACCTACTACCTTTTTATGAAATAAACAGTGGCAACCCTTCCTCCCAACCCACCATCTGGGACATGAATTAGAAAAAGGTGCCCTCTTCCTCTGGGCAGATTCTCCCAGCTGACACAGCTGAGAGTCAGAGTACATAGTCCTGATTGTGGAAAACTGTCTGGATTTTAGCCCTGACTAAAATTAGTACAACTATTGACTGTGGCCCGATACTGTGGAAACACAGCTGACATTTTCTTTTCATAGAGATTAACTACAACTATTAGAGGTTTGTTTGTTTGTTTGTTTGTTTTTTCACATAGCCGAATTATCTTTGCTTCGGTTAAACAAATATGAAGCTCCTATGTGCCAGTTATCTGGCTAAAAATTAGGGATATGTAAAATTTACAATGCATTGGATTATGAATTGCAAGAATGTAACTTCTAGTCTTTTCTTTTTTCACCACCATGCTATATCATGTCCTGAGAAACTTGAGAATTCAAATATATTTTTAATATTAACATAAAATGATTAGGAGACCAGGCTTGGTGGCTCACGCCTATAATGCCAGCACTTTGGGAGGCTGAGGCAGGTGGATCACTTGAGGCCAGGAGTTTGAGACCAGCCTGGCCAATGTGGTGAAACTCCGTCTCTACTAAAAGTACAAAAATTAGCTGGGTGTTGTGGTGCATGTCTGTAATCCCAGCTACTTGAGAGACTGAGGCACGAGAATCGCTTGAACCCAGGAGGCGGAGGTTGCAGTGAGCCAAGATGGCGCCACTGCACTCCAGCCTGGACAATAGAGCAAGAGCAGTCTCCAAAAAAAAAATAAATAAATAAAATTTAAAAAAAAAATTAGGAAAGTAAATCTGCGTCTAGACTTTATACAAATCATTCTAAAGCAAATTTAAAATCTAGAATGGAAGGGACTTTTAATTTTCTGAATCACTGGTCTTCCCTGTAGTATGCATAACAGGCATGATCCATAATTGGAAAAACTGCTAAGTAAATATGAGTAGGTAAAACTCATATTAAATTGATACTTTGATGTGCATAATTCTCCCTTTGAGAAAATAAATCTAATTTCTGCATAAGTATTTTGATTTTATTTTCCACAGTAAAGCAAACTATTTGCTTTATAGTAGCAGGGTAAATATTATATAGCTATATATTATACACACTATATATTATACAGTTAAATATTAACTATATAGTGGCAGGGTAAAAATACCAGCTTATACTTTCAATTTTGGATTTTTCTTTTCTATCTAAATTTGGAAATTTAGTATTGAGAGGGTGAGTGTTTGTATATATACACGTGTCTACACACTTGGAAAAAAGATAGAAGATGGGGTCATAGTTTTCAAAGAGGATTTTCTGATTTTTTAAAGACAAATGGAATATTGAATACAACTTTTCAAGCAAAGTAAGAAATTGCGTTTATGTTAAATGATATAAGATTATATAGGATCTCAGAACTCTTATCCTAAGAGGAGGCAAGGGAGATAGAGTTATCTTTATTTCTCTTGGTTAAACCAACTGTTCCTAAACTTTCCTCTAATAGATAATTGAGTAGTAAGCGGGCATTTTTCAGATGATCAGAACAACTTACTCATCTGATTTTCTAAAATCCAGGAATCTCCCAAAGGAATCAAGACAAAAGAGAGAGAAATTGAGTCGTAGGAGCACCTAGAAAAGTGACCAGTGGCCTGGGTCTCGATGCCCTTCCACTGCCACTCCAGTAATGGGTTATATCAGCTGTGAAGGAAAATTATGTTACTCACTAACATAGCATAAATTATCGCAGTGTGGCTTCCCTAATTGTCTTGTGTACATAAGAGGGAAGAGGAAGAATGTTTTCTTGCCTTCTTCAAACTCAGGCAAAAATGTTAAATAGGTAGAATTTATCTTTAGACTCATTATACATTCTTTTTTGTAAATCTTTTATAATAGAAAATTTGAAAAAGAATCATTTATTATGGTATATATCCTTCCAGTTATTTTACTGAATGTTTTACTTGTTTACTCAGAGTACACATGCAATTTTTTATTTTTAATGTAAACATTACAACCATATTCTTCGATGTGGCACACACACTCTCCCTCTCTCTGTATGTATATAAATTAAAGATGGTTATTAAAGGATGAAAGATCAAATTCTGGATGACATAAAAAGTAAAATATAAGAGTTCGTAATTTATATTTGGGGTCGGGGAGAGAGATTTTGGTGGAGAGAAATTACAAAGTAATCTGGCCAGCATTGCTTAGGAGTCTGTCCCCTGAGGTCAGCTCTCAAGTTTTTCAGGTTTCTAGCTTCTTATCTTCAATATCTTTTGAAATAACGATCCTTTGTAACAGTAAGATCTTTTTAAAACATGGTTTCTAGCATGGTATCTAGCACAGTATCTAACGGGAGGCATGGGTGTAGGGTCTGAATTTAGAGACTGCCTAAGAAACATCCAATGTTTTCATTCTTTGTCTTTAACTGTTGCTATTATAAACTTTAGTCCTTGTATGTTTTTCTTTTTTCTTTTGACCATCCATGTCGGAAGTCCTTGTAAATTTAAAACCTACTTTTAAGAAACCTAAGTTACCAATCTGATCTTTTATTTTATTATTTAGGATTGTTCAGATAAATTTGAGGATTTACATGACATGACCTCATTTACACACCTTAAAAAAGTAAAATCAAGATCAAGGCTTTTAGGAAAAAGCTCAGATGATATCCATAATCATGCCAGACACTCTGCAAGACCATATACTGCTCCGGAGGTTAACAAGCAACGAGAAAGCTACAGTGGAAAGTTTACAAGTCGTCGAATGGTTTCATCAGGCTTAGTTCATATAAATGATAAAACATCACATTATGAAATGCAAAAAATGCGGCCAAAAAAAATTAAAAGAGGATATTGAAAAATGTTCGTTCATTTGTGTTATTATAAAACATGTTTAACTTAGAATCATGTGAGGCCAGCAGTCAGAATATCATTTCTCCATTAACAAAATGGTTTGGAGATCTCTTCTTTTGTGTGACAGAAGTCAGCAACCAAATTTCATCTTGTTAGAACCATTTTGTTTTGATTAAAATGAAAAACAAACACATTTGATATAAATGTGTTTTCGTTCATGAAGCTTAGGGAACAGACCCAGAAATACGTGTTCAGTTTATATTCATGAACAAAGTTTTATTTCTCAGTTTTCACTTTTTCCGCTATGTAATACCACTCCAATTTGGTTTTCTCTGACTTCTCCAACCTTTGTTACACTGTAAATTATCCCTTTCTACCCAGTTTTCAGGTGATTTGTGGTTATCAATGTGTGCAGCCTTTTGTTATGAATATATACTTTTAGGCCAGGCACCATGGCTCACGCCTGTAATCCCAGCACTTTGGGAGGCCAAGGCAAGTGGATGGCTTGAGCCCAGGAGTTCTAGATCAGCCTGGGCAACATGACAAAACCCTGTCTCTACAAAAAATCAGCTGGGCGTGGTAGCACGCCTGTGGTCCCAGCTACTGAGGAAGCTGAGGTGGGAGAACCACCTGAGCCTGGGAGGCCAAGACTGCAGTGAGTTGCGAGAGTGACACCCCTCGCAAGAAAACAACAAAAAAAAAGAATATATACTTTTACTCTTCAGCTCTAGTTATTTCTAGATTCAACAGTTTGCAATTCTCTGGGCCTTATAGTTGTTTATTAACTTTTTTGGGACAGAGTTCTAGCTATGTTGCCCAGGTTGGTCTCAAACTCTGGACTCAAATGATCCTCCCGCCTCAGCTTGTCAAGTAACTGAGATTTATAGGTGTGTGCCACCACACCCAGCTGAACTTTTATTCATTTTAACATCATCTGATATTGCATTTTTTTACACAATAAAAATAAGAATATAGTTAATTCCTGAAGCATCTCTTACATAGCAGTGACTTTCTAAGTTACTCATACAACTGTGAAAGGGCCTCTTAGTAACATCATACTTGGGAAACTGCATAAAATTGTAGAAACTGAGTAAGATATAATCTAGCTAAATCAACATAGGATTTAAATCAGACTTCTGAGAATTGGTTCTGTTTCTTTGTAAGTACAGTATTTGGATCTTGTTGAATTTTGATCCACTCTTGAAAAGCAAAACTCGATTTACAGAATTTTTGTTTCTATTTTTCTACCAGAAGTTATAACGAGTATGGGGTTTAAATAGAATTGGTTGATGGAAAACATAATTCCTGATCATTCAGTGTTATAATCAGGATAGTAATTTTTTTTTTTTTTTTTTTTTTTTTTTTGAGACGGAGTCTCGCTCTGTCGCCCAGGCTGGAGTGCAGTGGCCGGATCTCAGCTCACTGCAAGCTCCGCCTCCCGGGTTCATGCCATTCTCCTGCCTCAGCCTCCCGAGTAGCTGGGACTACAGGCGCCCGCCACCTCGCCCGGCTAGTTTTTTTGTAGTTTTAGTAGAGACGGGGTTTCACCGTGTTAGCCAGGATGGTCTCGATCTTCTGACCTCGTGATCCGCCCGTCTCGGCCTCCCAAAGTGCTGGGATTACAGGCTTGAGCCACCGCGCCCGGCCAGGATAGTAATTTTTTATAGGGACTAAGAATTTCCAATAATCCTCAAAGTTGTCAGTACTTGTATCAGTCAGCTTGTAACTGGGAAAACACAACTCCAGATCTTTCAGGTAGAAGGAATACAGGGAGTTGGTTTTGTGGGTGATGGAATCAAGGCTAAGAAGCAGAAAGGGATGTTGAAGCAACCCAGAGATTATTAGCAAGAGTGGGAAGTGCTACCACCACTTGGATGGAAAGGACAGCAGGGGGCACTGGTGCTACCAGAGTCTTGAAGCTAGAGACAAGGACGATACCACCACTGCCAGGGACACTTGAAGCAGAAGGGGAGTGGGGCAAAGGGCAAGATATACTATGTTTCTCCTCTCTCGTCCTGCTCTCTGATCTACTATTGCCTCCCTGGAAACCAGAGATTGCGGGTACATGGGAAACGTAGATCCTAGTGAAGCAGAACAGGGAGAGGGTGGAGAAATGAACTTGAGAGCTAATAGGCAACTGGCCAACAGTACTTATGAGGGAAACCATTGATCTGGCTTGCAGTAAAGGACGAAATATTTACTAGATAGAAATCTCAAATCTCTTTGCCACATTAAATTTTTAATGGCAATATTGTGACAAGCAAAGAATTTAAAACTTCTTACCATGGAAATCTCTTACATTTTCAAGTCTTTTTTTTTAATTCAAATACTTTAATTCAAGAAAGAATTCAATAAATATTAAACGTCTACAATACGCCAGACAGTTTTACTAAACAGCAATATACCAGTGAATAAGACAATATTCTCAGGAAGTCCACAGTCCTTTGTGAATATAAACACAGAAGTAATTAGAGTTGTGTCAGTGCTTTTTGGGGAAGTTACTATAGAAGCTTATAGGAGGGCATTTTAGCTAAAGTGACTGCTAGTTTGGGTCCTTTGAAAAGCAGACACCAAGATGAAATTAGACATGTAGTAGTCATGGCCCCTACCAGTGTGTCCATGTCCTAATCCCAGGAACCTGTGAATGTTACCTTATGTGAGGAGAGATTTTTGCAACTGTGATTAAACCAATGGTGTTGAGATGGGGGGAATTATCCCAAATTATCTGGGTGGGCACAATATAATCACAAAAGTCAGAGAAGGAGATGGGACCACAGAAGCAGAAGTTGGAGCAGTGCTGTGCCATGAGGGAAGGAAGTAGGAAGCCTCTAGAATCTGGGAAGGCAACAGAATCTCCCCTAGAGACTCTGGAAGGAGTATAGCGCTACCAATCCATTTTAAACTTCTGACCTCCAGAACTGTCAGATAATAAATGTGCATTATTTTAAGCCACTGGGTTTGTGGTAATTTGTCACAGCCGTGATAGGAAATTAATACCACCTGCAACAGATGTTTTGAGGGGAAAAGTCTGGGAGGGAAAAGTAGGGAGGCAGTAGAAGATGGCTGGGAGAGCTATCCATGATGTAAGTCTGACCAAAGTGGAAGAGAGAGAGGAAGACAAGAAGGCAGAATAGGAAATGGCTTAGACTGCAGTGTCATTCTAAATAAGTTTCAGCCGGGCTGATGGGGAGTGCTCCAGCCGAAGTCATTAATCACAAAAGGCCTTTGTCTCCCAGGAATGGGCTTGAATTGCAATCCCTGCTGCCAGGGGTAGGGATAGGATGAGGCAGGTATGGTGGGTAGGATAATGTTCCCCAAAAGATGCCTACATCCTAAGGCCCAGAACCTGTTAATATGTTAGGTTATGTGGCTAAAGGGAACTACGATTGCAGACAGAATTAAGGTTGCTTATCAGCTGACTGTAGACAGGGAAGCTATCCCAGATTATCTTGCTATGCCCAGTATAATCACAGGGGTCTTTAAAAAGTAGAAGATGGAATCAAAGGGAGAACTAGAGAAATGGCAGAATGAGGATTCAGCCCCACATTGCTGACTTTGAAGATGGTCAAACAGGGCCATGAGCCAAGGAATGTGAATAGTTTCTAAAAACTGAAAAGGCCAAGGAAACAGATTCCCCTCTGGAGCCTCCAGAAGGAACGGAACCCTGCCAAACCTTGATTTTAGCTCAGTAAGACTGATTTCAAACTTCTGTACCAAAACTTCAAAATAATAGTTGTGTTGCTTAAGCCACTAAGTTTGTGGCAATTTGTTACAGCAGCCATTGGAAATACAGCAAGCAAGGAGCCTAAGGTACAAAATTTAAGAAAGCACTCACAGGGTGAAGTCATCACTCATGGTGATACCCATGGTGATGGTTGATTTTGTGTGTCAACTGTACTGGGGCACAGGTGCCCAGATACTTGGTCAAACATTATTCTGAATGCCTGTAGTCCTAGCACTTTGGGAGTCCAGGGTCAAGAGTTCTAGACCAGCCTGGCCAACATGGTGAAACCCTATCTCTACTAAAAATACAAAAATGAGCTCGGCATGGTGGCGGGAGCCTGTAATCCCAGCTACTTGGGAGGCTGATGCAGGAGACTCACTTGAACCCGGGAGGTGGAAGTTACAGTGAGCTGAAATCATGCCACTGCACTCCAGCCTGGGCGACAGAGCAAGACTCCATCTCAAAAAAATAAACAAAAAATAACATAATTCTGAGTGTCTCTGTGAGGATATGTATTAGGGTTCTCCAGAGGGGCAGAACTAATGAATATAGGAAATGGAGTTTACTAGGGAGAACTGGCTCACACTATCACAAGGGGAAGTCCTGCAGTCGGCCATCTGCAAGCTGAGGAAGAAAGAAGCCAGCAGTTGCTCCGTCCAAGTCCAAAAGCCTCAAAAGCAGCAAAGCCAACAGTACAGCCCTCAGTCTGTGGCTGAAGGCCCAAAAGTCCCCAGGAAGCCCGTGTGCAACTCCCAGAGTCCGAAGGCCAAAGAACCTAGAGTCTGATGTCTAAGGGCAGGAGGAGTGGAAGGAAGTATCCAGCACAGAAGAAAGATGAAATCTTCAAGGCTCAGCAAGCAAGGTTATCCCTCTTCTGGCCACCATCTTCTAGCTGTTTAGCAGCTGACTGCATGCTGCCCACCCACATTGACGGTGGGTCTTCCTCTCCCAGTCCACTGACTCAAATGTCACTCTCCTCTGGCAAAACCCTCATAGACACACCCAGAAACAATACTTTACCACAAGGGTCCCCAAACCCCTCTATGGACCCATACGAGTCAGTGGCCTGTTAGGAACCCAGCGTCACAGCAGGTGAGCAGCAGGGTGGGTGAGCATTACTGCCTGAGCTCCGCCTCCTGCCAGATCAGCGGCCACATTAAATTCTCATAGGAGCACCAACCCTATTGTGAACTGCACACACCAGCGATCTAGGTTGTGCCGCTCCTTATGATAATCTAATGCCTGATCTGAGATGGAACAGTTTCATCCTGAAACTATCCCCCACCCCATGGAGAAACTGTATACCACAAAACTGGTGCCAAAAAGTTGGGACCACTGCGTTATCAGCTATCTAGACATCCTTCAATCCAATCAAGTTGACACTTAATATTAACCATCACAGGGTGTTTCTGGATCAGACTAACATTTAAATTGGTCGACTAAGTAAAGCAGATTGCATTCTCTAATATTAGTGGACCTCATCCAATCCATTGAAGACCTGAATAGAAGAGAAAAGCTAAACTTCCCCCAAGTAAAAGAGAATTCCTCCTGCCTGAATGCATTTGAACTGCGACATTGGCTTTTTCCTGCCTTTGGACTCAAACTGAAACACTTACTCTTCCTGGGTCTTGAGTCTGATAGCCTTTGGACGAGAACTACACCATCAGCTCTTCTGGACGTCCAGCTTGCTAACTCACCTGGCAGAGCTTTGGACTTGTCAGCCTCCACAATCGCATGAACCAATTCCTTATAATAAATCCATTTATATATGTATATATATAAAATGTAGATATATATATGCACATTCATTCTATTGGCTACTTCTCTGGAGTACCCTAATACACCCCATAGTAGGAGATCTGAGAGGCACCATTTCATGCCCTTTATGGTCCAATTTTTAAACTACACACATTCAGGAGAACCTCCACACCGATTTGAAAGAACCTCTAAGGTCTCTGGGCCCCTCTTATGGAAGGGAAATTTAGGAGGAGGAGGTTAGTAGGATGAACTTTAGCCCTTACCACTAGAGTTGCTCTTAGGGCCTCAGTGGTCTTCATCTCCTCCCTTTTCCACTGTCCATTTTAAATTCTTTCACTTTGGTGGGTCTTGGTGGCTTAACAGATGGAGTAACCCAAACCTTCATTCTTGAGCGAGTCCAGTCAATAAACATGAAGAAAATTGTGCTTGAAATGGCCTATAGATTTGTATATTATTTGTCTTTTTAATTTTTTAGTCCTGAAGTAATCATTTTAAAATAACTTTTAATGTAATATAAATAAGATTGTATAAATTAAGAAAATCAACTGAAGTAGGTCCCAGTTTACCACACCTCCAAACTATGTATTCTTTTTGAATACATAGTTTGAGACATGGCAGAGTCTCTTTTCTAATTAGGAAATATTAATTAAGACCTCTATGTCCTCATGTTGTACCTCCTACAGGAGCAATAACCATACAAAAGGCCAGAATGCCTTCTGCCTCCATTTAATCGAATACTCAGTTGATTATAGATTATGGAAATGAACTTGCTTGAGAAAGGGCTTTTCTTGGCAAAACAAATCAGAATCTGTATTTTAGCTCTGTCAAACCACGCAAGGAAAATAAATAAAAGCATAAACTCAATTCAGTAAATCTTTATTGAGCTCCCACGGGGTGCATGAATTTAGGATCTATAATTTACATAAGTAGGAAAGTGTTACTTTAGCCCCCTTTTTTTAAAAAAAAAAGCAAATTACAATTTCTGTATATATTTCAAGTGAATCATTTAATGTCAGTGAGGTTCAGTTAGATGTTACCATAAGTATTAACAGAAGAAAAAGGGAAAGTACAAACATTTTCCCTCTACCAGAAAAGGGTCTGATGTAAGATAAACCAGCCCATTGGTTTAACAATAGCTCATTAAAAAGGCCAGAGAATCTGGGAGAAGAAGATATACTTGGAAGCACTGTCCTCTGAGGGCCCATTCCCAAGGGACAGCAAAATACTGAAAAAAATTAACTGGCTCAAAAATTATATTGAGAGAGAAAAAGAGTTAGTCACAGCTTAGAAAAAAATTCCAGAATAAATGACACTCGCTAGATTAGTAATTCTGATGTTTCCTTGGAGTTGTCATAGTACTCTGTGGGAACCAGAGGGACTACAAACTGATGCCCCTTTGAACAGAGTGGTTTTAAATAATAGATTCTCCAGTGCACCAACTGTATTTTCAAGTATAATTCTGGTATTTGTACCTAGCAATACAGAAGAAAAAGCAGCAAGGAGAAAGTGTCAAGTATATAGGACATAAAATGATTTGGCAGCCCTAGAATTCCCAGTATGAGTCTTTTTCATCAGGAAAATCACATTCTGGCTCAGTCCAAGGTAACACTGGAGGCAATGATATTGATGGCTTGTTATAAGCAGGAGGCAACAGTGAAAGTATTGAATCATGGCTTTCTTCTTTCATCTGTTAAAGAAACTCAAAATAAGGCTGTTGATATATCATTTCAATACATCAGTTTTGTTAGCAATAAATAACTTTTAAAGAATTTATGTTAAATGTGTTTAAAATTGTTTTCAGGTGTTCCCCCTAAAACTGCCTTTGATTCTAGTCATCTGAAAACAGGAAGAAGAGCCAAATAAACTGACTTCTTATCAGAATTACTTTGCCCTTTCATCATTTCTAGCCAACATAGAAAATGTCTCTAAATTAATCAAAATATACACCAAGCATCAATAACATGTAATGATAGTCCATTTTGTTTTTACTCATTTTGTTTTGAAGAATGAAAGTATTTTAGAAAGTCTGTAATTGAACTACCAAAAGTTTTCTTGTTTTTAACTTTATTTTGTAACAGAGTTATTAATAAGAACCTTGGTAACCAAAGTATCTCATCAAGCCAACAAAATAAAGTGACTTTTTAATAGTAATTAAAAACATCGAGACAACGGATGATAGATCAGCTCACCTGTTTGAAGAAAACATGGGACAATAAACTGCTTGCTGATGGCCTGAAATTTTTAAGAAAGTTATAAAAAAAAAAAACCTTTATATTAGAATGTAGATTTCAGGTGTATAAATATGTTAGAAATTAGGTTTAGAGCTATAAAACCCAGTAAGAAAAAAATTAAAAAGAATATATATCAGAAGCCCAATTCTTAGCTACAACCTTGACTAAAGGGAATAATTGTAGAGGTATCCTTCAATTAATCTATACTCAACATCTACTGGACACAGTATTTACTGACAGTAACTTAGTAGGGTAGCAGCAATTTACATTTTTATACTGCTTAGAGTCAACATAAATGTGCTAATTAATGTCCAGAAAGAGTAACTGATTTTTACTCTGATTTTTCTTGTAAAAATCAGTTAGAAAATGGTACAGCTGAGACTGGAGCCCAACTCTTCTGATTTTTTTTTTTCTTTTGAGATGGAGTCTCACTCTGTCACCTAGGTTACAGTACAGTGGCATGATTTCGGCTCACTGCAACCTCTGCTTACTGGGTTCAAGCGATTCTCCTCCCTCAGCCTCCCGAGTAGCTGGGACTACAGGTGCATGCCACCACACCCAGCTAATTTTTGTATTTTTAGTAGAGACGGGGTTTCACCATGTTGGCCAGGCTGGTCTTGAACTCCTGACCTCAGGCGATCCACCGGCCTCAGCCTCCCAAAGTGCTGGGATTATAGGCATGAGCCACCGCACCCAGCCTCTTCTGATTTTGAATCCAGTATTCTCATTTCCTTGTTCCCACTAGTTGTTCTTAGCACTGACATTTTCTAGATTAGACAATATTTTGATCAAAACATTGATAAAAGATTTGTATTCTCCTGGAAGGGCAATGTTACAAAGCTTCTATAAAATGTAAAACATGTACATTTTGCAGTATTTAGAAGAGATCAATATTACCTTTTCTCAGGATCTTGTTGCAAACAGAGCTGTACCAAGCTAAAGAAGGCAGGAGAGAAGGTTTTTGAGGATGGTGTGTGTAATCGGTCACTATTTACTGTGTGAGTTCCACTGGAGACAAGCACGCTTTCTCCAATCCCAGAGTCTACACCTGACCGGGAGTTTTTCATTCTGGATTCTGATTGAGGGAAAATACTGATATCCAATGGGCTGTAAGGAGGACCTTTCAGTTTCTGTAACAGCATCTAAAAGAAACAGAACTTTCCTTCAACACTTTCCAGGCAAAATATTAAAACAGTAACAATAAAGCTCCTAAGAGTCTATAGCAAATGTATTTAACAGAAATTATCTAGAATGTAAGCAATCTTATGAAAGGGAAGTACTTCAGGGATTTTAGCAGCACTTACCTGAGTTCTATGCATGTCCTGGAAAGGCACCTGCCCACTGGCTAATTCACATGCTGTAATCCCAACACTGTAAATATCTGACTTCACATTATACCCATGTAAATCCTGTAGGACACAATTAATTTGAAGTCTTTTAGTGCAAATAAGTTAACCAAAAGTTATACATGTGTGCTTTTTTGATAAAGAATGGTGAACAATAATGGAAAAGAAACCCATAAGTGACAAATCAAGACACACTTAATATATGGTATTTAATTTCCTAACATAATTTTGACAAGAAAGAGAAATAAAGTCTTGCAGAAGGCCATTCACCAATCCACATATAAAGTCACAACTGTACTTCAGTCAAACTCAGAAGACACTTGAGACACAGAAAACCCAATGCAACGGCCACACCTGACCTGTCTCAGTAGTTCTGGACTCAGCCACGGCTGCACTGATGTGCTGAACTGTGGGAAATCATACACAGCTGTATGCCTCTGTCCATGCTTAACCAAACTATGCAGATGGGACAGGCCAGAGAGGGTCACTAGGCCATCACCAGAAATGAGGATATGGCTGGCTTTAATACTCCTAGAACAAAGAGAAACAATCCTAAGTAATAGGAAACTGGCCAATGAAGAAAGAATAAAAATCTGGTAGGAACAAATCCATATATTCTCTTGGAAATTAAATACCCTTTATAAAACAGCAGTATAAACTGCAAAACAGTACTGCAAAACTGCTGTTTACACAGGAAATATTCAGGGAATAAGAATTCTTTCTCAACTACTTACTACAGCACCAACACAAGTAAAGATATATAACTGAAAGCTACATGTTAAGAACTGATGGCCGGGCGCGGTGGCTCACGCCTCTAATCCCAACACTTTGGAAGGCTGAGGCAGGCAGATCATGAGGTCAGGAGATCGAGGCCATCCTGGATAACACGGTGAAACCCCGTCTCTACTAAAAATACAAAAAATTAGCCGGGCATGGTGGCGGGCGCCTGTAGTCCCAGCTACTTGGGAGGCTGAGGCAGGAGAATGGCGTGAACCCAGGAGGTAGAGCTTGCAATGAGCCAAGATTGCACCACTGCACTCCAGCCTGGGGGACAGAGCGAGACCCTGTCCATCTCAAAAAAAAAAAAGAACTGATAATATTTTTTCAAACAAGGAATGGAATCAAATAATTAATTTCACTTTTTTTTTTTTTTGAGACAGAGTCTCACTCTGTGGCCCAGGCTGGAGTGCAGTGGCATGACCTCAGCTCACTGCAACCTTCACCTCCTGGGTTCAAGTGATTCTCCTGCCTCAGCCTCCTGAGTAGCTGGGACTGCAGGTGTGTGCCACCACACCTGGCTACTTTTTTTTTTTTTTTGTATTTTGAGTAGAGACAGGGTTTCACCATCTTGGCCAGGCTAGTCTCAAACTCCTGACCTCAAGTGATCTGCCCGCCTCGGCCTCCCAAAGTCCTGGGATTACAGGCATGAGCCACCATGCCTGGCCAATTTCACTATTTTTGAATGCTGTTGCAAAACACCTAAGAAGTGTTACCTAAAAAAAAAATCAAACAATATTTGAAATATAAGGTTTTAAAGCTAAATGTAATACTATCCAGTAAAAGTCTCTCTCATACATCATTTATAAAAAGATATATTATACATTTCCTTTAATTGTCAGATAAATTATAAGAGCCTTGTTTTTCGATCCCAAACACTGAATTTGGAAACTTAACAGAGGAGGATGGCCAATCATCTGGTGACATATAATGAAACCCCAGTTAACCAGAATATAGTGTGTTGGAAATCCTTGGTTAACTAGAATTTTGCTGGAAAAACAATAGTAAGACTAAAAGCTTTAAGGAGATTGAAACAATAGGAAAGCAAGCTTATTTAAAGGTAACAATTAAAAAGTAAGATAAAGTCGCAGTATATCTTAGAACAGCACTGTTTTTAACATTCAGTCAATCACTTTTGCATATACACTTTGGTAACAAGAGAAGTGATATTTAGGATGATAACCTCAAGGTACTGCAAAATAAGAAATCGAAGAAAAGTTTAATTCCAATTTATGCATAAGATAAGATGGAAAGCAGATAATGAAGCTCTTCATTTGCTTAAACAAAAACGGAATGAAAAACACCCAGCTAACTAGGATCCCATTTCCTACAGCTCATCTCCTGAACATCCTCATTAGATTGAGACTGTGAGCTCCATGAGGGCAGGCACTCCATCCCAGCACCAAGAACTGCTTGTCACAGAGGATGTGGTCTGAACATGTTTGGTGAAGGGACATAAAATGTATCAATCCATTGCACCTAATGGTCCCTTCCTCCCTCAATTTTCACTTACAAGTTTCCTATCCCTCTTTTCTAACATTCAACTGCTCCTTCCTAAAACCTCCTTCAGAGAGTTCTTCCAGTAAAATTATTTCATTTAGTAAAATACAAATAAGTAAATACCTGTGAATACAGCCATTTTGGTGCAGATAGTTCAACCCTCTCACTGCTCCAAAGAGAATGTTTCTTATTAAAGTTTCACTCATTCCCTCAGGAAAATAGGTCCTCAAGAGCTGACTTGCTGAACCTGAAAGAAACCCCTAAAATCCTTATATGAACATTGAAAGTGATTTTGCTTCCAGCTGTGTTTTAATATTCTCTTCAACCATAAACACAAACATATCTGTTACTTTTTGGAGTCTAACCCAAACAACACTTTCCCACACAAACATGATTTTCTTTCAAGAATCTTTAAACAATTTTTTCTAATGACACTCTAGAGATTAGGAAAGAGAATTAATGATTTGTCAATATTATTGAATAAAAATACATTCTGTGTATATATATATTCTTAAATCCGGAAGCAATTCACAAAAGCTGTGCTAAAAATCAAAGTTCCAGAATCCATTCACTATTTATTCAACACAATTATGGAACACAACTTTGTGTTAAGTACTATGTGAGCACCTGGGGACACCACAAATAAAAATATATAAATGATCCTGGCCCTCAAGAAGCAGTGAGGGAGATGGGCACACACAAAGATGTTTCTAATACAGTGAAATAGTTTACAATGCAGTGTAACAGGGACAGGGATGGGGTGTAGAGGTGGAAAAACAACTTCTTCCTGCAGAATAACAGTAGGTCTCCATTAAAAGAGGGGTAGGAAGCTGAAGGGAAGAGACAGCCTGTGCAAAGGCACGGAATTCTTGGAAAAGCAGTGGTGGTTCACTGATCATCATACCAATTCTTACCTTTTTCTGCAAACTAAAATTCAACATGCACCAGATATAGAAATATACCATGAAATCTAAAATCAGTCATTAGACTTATAAATTAAATGTGGCAAATCATAAATCTAAAATCCCAACTCATCTATATAATTATAACATCTAGGCTAAATTATTTAAAACCAGCATTCTTACCATAGGCCATAAATGGAGAAATAACCCAAAGCCAGCTGCCAACAGTGAAAACTGTCCAATAAGTTGTAATATTGGGATGCCGGAAAAAGTGGGAGAGAATCACGGCTTTCTAGGATAAACACACAAGAGACAAGACATTTAAAAATAACCCTTTTTTCCTTATGAAAATGGCAGTCGTGGCAGCTAATACTCAAGGGTGCTCATTAGTGAAAGCACTGTTCTTAGTGCTTTTATCTATTTAAATCTCACAACCACTCCACGAAGTATGTGATATTATGATTCCCATTTTTCAGAAGACAGCACTTAAAAATAAGTTAGAAAACCTGTCCAAAAGCATGCAATTAATAAAAAGAAGTGGAAGTAGAATGTGAACTTAGTTTCCCTCTAGGGTCATACTCTTAACTGTACTATGTTCTTATTATAAAAACATTTTAAAATACCTAAAAATCCCTATCGCCACCTCACAGAGACCCACTGTTAACGTTTCATACGGTTTCTCCTAGTCTTTTTTTGTTTGTGTAATATACATGTTCACATATAAATATTTTAAGAATTGGAACAATATCCAAATAAAATCCTTTCCCCCTTTATATCAAAAATGATTAGTGACAATAAAAATGGTATTATAAGATACCTGAAATGCAATTCTGTCAAAATTTGTCATTTGGAAATTAATTTTGCTTATCTGGATAAAAAGGAAACTGTTTTTTATTTCTTCCATTGCCCTATGTGACTATTTAGGATGGGACTAACTAGGGGTATTGTAAAACTCCAGACCTGCATTTTGAATATGATATTCATTTGAAGGAGCAGCAGTTACCAAAGTTGGAATACATGTGTTCTTTCATATAATGAATCTGGCTTCCACGTATTCTTTCCAATTCTGTAACTGCATGTTAATTAGAAGAAATCTATATTTCCCTAACAGAAGAATTATTAGTTTGGGGGAGAAAATTCTTATAGATGTAATCTCCTCAAATAAACATTATATTAAATACAATCACCCCTTAATATCCATGGAGCATTGGTTCCAGGACTGCATCCCCTGACCGCCTCCCACACACCACCCCATGAATGTACCAAAATCTAAGAATGCTCAAGTCCCTTGTATAAAATGGCATAATATTCACATATAAGCTATGCACATCCTCCTATATACTTTAAATCATTTCTAGGTTACTTATAATGTCTAATACAATGTAAATGCTATGTAAATAGTTATGCTGTGTTTTATTTGTACTATTTTTTATTGTATTATTTATTTTAAAATATATGTTTTCTATTCACAATTGGTTGAATCTGCAGATGTGGAACCAGTGGACACAGAGGGCCAACTGTGTATCATTTTCTTCATATTGTTACCTGTAAAGCTTTCAGGCGTTCTTCATTGCAGTTTTCCAGATTTGTAATTTTTATAGTTACCAGTGTTCCCGTGGGAGTATGCCGTGCAAGATGGACAGAAGTCAAGTTGTCAAATCCTCTTCCTATAATCAGGCATAAAAGTCATGTTAGTAACCAAAGAAGAAAAAAAATTGACAATTTAGACTTCATCAAAATTGAAAAGTCTTGCTCTTCAAAAAGTACTGTTAAGAAAATGAAAAGGCACACTACTCATTCAAAGTATTAATAATACTTATCAAGCAATCCAATTAAAAAACAGGCAGAGGATTAAACAGGCAATCCACAAAATAAGATATAGGAACAGCCAGTAAGCATATGAAAAGATGCTCAAGATAGAGAAATGCAAATTAAAACAGTGACACACCATTACATATCTATTATAATGACTAAAATTGTGACTTGATAAACCAATTGTGATATACTCACACAATGGAATGCTACTCAGCAATCCCCTGTCCCCACTCCTAGTCCCTGGCAACCACCAATCTGATTTTTGTCACATAAATGGCGTCAAAAAGAACACAGTCGTCAGCTTCTTTTGTGTTTAGCTTCTTTCGCTTGGCATATGCTTCTGAGACTCAACCACGTTGTTGTATGTGTCAGCAATTAATTTCTATTGCTGAGCAATAAACAATTGTATGGCTATACCACAATTTATCCATTTATAATACTGATGGTTATTTAGGTTGTTTTCAGTTTTTGGTGACTATAAAGCTGCCAAAAACATTCCTATACCTATAATGTATAGGTAGACATATGTTTTCATTTATCTTTGGCAAATATCTACGAGTGAGATTGCTGGGTCATGTGGTAAATGTATGCTTAACATTATAAGAAGTTGCCAAACTGTTTTCAAAAGTAGCTGAATCATTTCACATTCCCACAAACAATATATAAGAGCTGTCACTGCCTGACATACTCACCAGCATTTGGTATCGTCAGCTTTTTAAATGTAAAACACCTAGAGTGGCACTTGCTAGCAGCCACCTAATAAACGTTAGTTAACTCCCTCTCTCCATGGTCACCAAATTTTGTCAGTTTTATTTTTGAAATGAAGTTAATCTCAATTCATCTCCTCTCCTCAGTGTCAGCGTCACTGACTTAGTCTGAGCCCCATCCTGTCGCCCTGGATGTATGCAGTGACTCCCTCATATGCCCTGCATTCTCAGCCAGGGCACACACCAGAATTACTGAGGGAACTACTGTAAAATGCCTCTGCCTTGACCCCACACCCCAGAAACCTTGGTCCAGTAGCTCTATGATGGAATATAGGTGTTGTAATTTTTAAAAAGACACAGGTAATGAAGATGACACTTCTGGTTTTGCACTGCTGATCTACTACATCTTCCTGACTGTTGCCTGAGCTGTTTTAAATTTGTCATTTTATCAATGGCAGGTCCTGCAGCAGCTGAGAGCTTAGATCCTACAGTCAGAAAGATCTGGTTTCAAATCACTAACTGTATGACTATCTCAGAGCCTCAGTGTCCTCATCTGCGAAATGGGAGTGGCAAAGGGTTAAAGGAAAAAAATACATACTAAATGTTCAGCATCATGCCTGTTAGATGCTATTATTGTCATCACGATTCCACAATGTCTCTCTAGCAGAAGGACAGTAAATTCTAAATCTCCACCTTAAATCATCTGAGTAATAAGGAGGGTAGGTTGTGGACGCCATTCTAAATCCAACCACATGAAGTCCTTCACAACGCGTTCCAAACCTGCCTTTCCAGATTCATCTCCTACCACTGCCTACTCTCCCCTTGTCCCCACTTGTAGTCCCCACAGAGGAACTATATGGTATTCTCCCCTAACCATCCTTCCTCAGTCATTTACTGAGGTAAACATGTTTTCATCTTTTTAGAATTGGCACCATCTGAAATTCCTTTCTAATTTTGGGGCATTTGCCACTATGTGTTATTTCAAAAAGGTTAGATCCTTACTCTCCCTTAGTCTCCTTGACCTTGGTATGTGACCTATGCTTGGCCAACTGGAGCATGGAGTGAAGGACAAAGCAGCAGCAGTCGTCAGAGCTCCCTGCAGTGGGCCAGCGTCTGGTGGCGGGCAGTACATTCACTAGGCTGCTCCTATTCCACAGTCCTGGTTCTTGTCATGCAGCTTCTCTTGGCTTCTTCCAAACCTATTTCTCTAGCCAATAATTCTGTGAGTTAGCAGCATTGTTCAAATATTCCTTTTTCACTTAAGTTAGCCAGGATTGTTTATGTTGTCTATAACAAAACCTATGACTAGAATATCTAGCAAACTCTTCCTCATTCAAGATCCAGCCCCTTTTTGCCATTTCTCTTAACTCCCAGAGGTGGTTCGTTGTATGCTCCATCTTCTCCGTTCCCATAACACTTAGGACATACCTCTGCTAAAGTACTATATTGTGTCTTCATCTTCCTAGAGATGATGTCAATTCCAAGTGTTCTCCTATGCTTTGTTCCCCTATTTGTTTAACAGATGTTTCTGAATATTCAGAGCAAATGTTTCACATATGTAAAGCTATAAACAATAACCCATCCTATTCCACACTTAACTGAAAAAGCTTTCTATTACAAATGGGATTTTAGATAAATTTTTAAACTAAGAAGCAATTTAGTTAACGGACTGTGACTGAAAAGATTTATCTGACTTGATTTTACTTCATACCCAGTAAAAATTATACCCATAAAATAGATGCTTCCCACAATAAACACACAAATAATAAGTATTTAGTGTCTTCCTCATGTAAATGTACTTCAATGGAAAAGTAAACGTTCTAGACAGTAATCCTGAAAAAATCTGAGTCATTATTTTAAGACAGACATAAATTAATTGAATCCACTTGACTGACACAATTAGCATCTAGTTTTATGCTGGAGGTAACAACAGAAAAAAACTTGTCTACAAAATAATATTTTTGTCATCAATTTAATTTCTAACACTGAAGGGTCAATTAGAAATTCAGAATTATTACCTATTTCTACTTGGAGCTCGTAGTGAGAAACGTTGGTGGAACATACTACTTCGCTTGCTCTAGTGGATGGAGGTGACCAGGAAAGGGTTGGCTCATCAACCTGCATTTGTTTTTAAAGATAAAAACAAAAGAGATGAAATTCTTGGTCCCCCTGCCCCAATATAAAACACTGGTGTTATATTTTCAAACACAGAGGTGCTCATTAGGAAGGTACTGCAAGGTGGCTTAAGAGACTGTTTTAAGATCTAAAAGGAATTTACCAGTTGCTCATTGATGTTAGTTAGAAAGCCATTAGCCTATGGAGAGGGCAGGAAAAGGAGATTTACAGATAGCAAGGAATACTTTCCAGTGTAATTTCCAGTAAAACGTTTAGGAGTTGCGAAGAATGTTAATTCTTCAGGATAGCTGACAAATGTACCAAGCGAAGAGCTGCAGAGACCTGTGAGGGATATTCTATGCTTGTGCTCTTGCTTCAAGCTAGAGCCATATTTTGCACAAGGTACATGCTCTGCTAGTGAAGATGTTAACAGTCAAGGAACAGTTTCCAGACTGCAGCCTATTAAAATTGCTGATGAAGTTTTTAGCAAGATGAATCAGATGGGAGGTCAGAAAGAAAAATCAAAGGAGATAGACCTCCTAAGTGTATGACCAAGTACTGATAGGAGGTCTCATGGTGTGCTTTGGAGTGAGAGTCAGGTTTGCACCTGAATACAGTGACAGTGAAATAACATGGAGGTATGAAAAAGACGATGCCTAAACTACTGGCTTCATATGATAGCCATGAGGGTCTCCCAATGGACGTAAGTACTCCAACTTAGGAGCCTCTACAGACAGGTGGCAGGGGAAGGAAAAAAGGGGAAAAATAACATTACTATGTGCTAGGAATTGTGTTAACTCCTTTTCACATTCTTAGCTCTTTTTAATCAAGAGACAGAGATGGAGTTTGAAACAGTCACAGGATTAAATGTTCCCTAAACTTTAAGAGAGCAGGAAAAAAGGAATTACAAACCCATGGCTAAAGATGAATAAGGGTGACTATTGTTCAAGAGGAATGAAAGAATGTAAAAAGAAATTCTACTATACAATTGGAAAAATCCTGAAGAGAAAACAAATCAAAATAAAGCAATTTAGTTTCTCTTTTTTTCTGCCTCTTTACAATCTGATGGAAGCAATTCAGTTTCTTTAAAACAGGTAGTCTCCAGATAAACTCAGATTTAAAGACCACATAAAAGAGACAGAAAGAAAATATAACAGTTTTAAAATTTTTTAAGTGATATCAACCTGTAAGCCTGTCAGGAAGGCTAGAGACATAATGAACTAAGGCTCATAGTTCATAGGCTTGGAAAAAACAGCATAATGTTATGGGGTGATGGACTAAAATAAGAACTAATCAGCGTCTGTTTTGCTTCCATCTATTCCATTAGGGAATTAGTCTTATTTAAACTAGAAGGGACACTTGTAAATAACACTTGTAAATAAACTTGTAAATAAGTATTCAAAGCTCTAAAAAGGTTGTTTTAAATAGGTTCAAACCTCCAGGCCCAGGGCAATTACACTTAGGATATGAAGTTTGCAACTATGGTAGAACTCAGATGAAAAACCAGAATAGAAGTAGCAAACAATGACCCAATTTTCAAAAGGGGAGAAAACTACAAAGGGGCAAGCTTGATGCTGCTGCCCAGTAAAGTCAGAGATCAAATTATTCGATAGGTGAACTATGGGCACTTTAAAAAGCCACATGGTAATCCCAAGAAGACAACTCGGATTTACTAAGAGCAAATCATCCCAAACTAATCCCACTTCTCTTTTTCACTTGATGACCAGTTAGATGATAGAAAGCAAAAATTATGGCAAAGTCCTTGACTTTGCTCTGTTAAACTTTTTAATGACTTCCTGAAAATGAAACAGGCTGGCTTGAAAAAAGAAAAAGTATGGATCATGCATTGCTGGGCATAGCTAATTACCGAAAAAAAAAAAAAAAAAAAAAAGGCAGGACTCACAATCATCCTGCAACTAGAAGAATGGGCCCAGTTCAATAAAATTTTACAAGGATAAATGCAAAACCTTGCACTTAAGTTAAAAAACAAACAAACAAACAAAAAACAATAGCCTAAATACAAAATTGAGGATACCAGGTTTATGACTTGGAGGTTTCAGTCAATAGCATGACAGAGAAGGTTAAATAAAAGCATAATATGGAGCTATATTTACAGAAGCAAAATTGAGCAGACTGGAAGAGACAAGAGTTTCACTGTGTTCTGAAATGATTAGATAGTATCTGGAGCACTATGGATAATTGAGACACCACAGTTTAAGAGGGAATTATAAAATGGTGACTGTAAAATGGTGATGCCTGGAGAAGGCCAACCAAGTCGGTGAAGGTTCCAGCAACAATGGAGGAGTTGGAAATATTTAATCTGGAAAAGAAAATATTAAGAATATATATAGTTGCCATTTGCAAGTGACCAAAAGACTAATATAGAAGGGTAAACAATTGTTCAGCGAGAAGAGCTGAGATCAACAGATAGAAGCTCCAGGAAGTAGATTTCAGTTCCGCATAAGAAACGTGGAGTAACCGGTGCCATCCAAGTGTAGTTCAGGCATCAAGCTGCGTCTTTCCATTATCCTCTCTCCACTGATATATTTGGAGGTTGGACGACCACCATTGACAGTAGTTGAGCTACACGGAGGTACAAGAACTGGAAGTGAAGAGGGAATGGTCAGCAATTGGAAGGCTAGAAAAAGAAAAGTTTTGATGCCCACAAATGTCTGCTTGCAGTGAAAGGAAGTACTGTGATATGAATTTCGAGTACTTTGATAGCTGTCATTAGTTCTCCATTATACATTAAACTGCCTCTAACTATGATTTGGTTTCCCATGTAACTTTTCTATAAGAGTGGATTGATGATACAATGTAAGGGCACCATTTCCTCTGGCACCGGGAGACTGGGTTTATAATGAGCTTGATTAATGTGGATCTGATACAGAAATATGGATCCACTCTAGGTTTGCTGACTAAATCCAGTTTCTGATCCAAGAGGCTGAGGAACATCATGGTTCAATAATCAAGCCAATGAATAGCACTCTGAAGTGTTTTCAGAGAGATCCTGCCAGACTTTTACTTGTGGTGAAACATACCTTTCTGTATGTTTCTATTTTTCTGTGATGACTATTTTTCTACAATGGAGCTCTTTTTATTTATATTTCTACAACGAACTCTCAGAGATATTGTAGAGAACACTCCCTACATAAGTTGAAAATTAGACTAGATGGCCTCTCAGGAATCACTGTAATGCTAAAATTGCATTATTTTAAAAAGCAGCATCTCAGGTCAAGCACCACAGCCTTTCATTTGCAAAGGTTAACTATAGGAAATGAATTTTCCTACAGATAGAGGGGTTTCCAAAGTTACAGGAGACACAAATCACTTGGAAAACCAGACTGTCCACCAAACATGATATTTTAACATAAAATTTAATCCTATCTACAAAGTCCAGGCCAATGGAGAACAAGCTGTCCAAAGAAAAGACAACAGATGGTGTTTTACAGCATGACTCAGACAGTGCACAGGGAAGTTTTTGTAGTCATCAGGCACCAGTTTCCAGCTGGTGTCAACTTACATTATACAACTTTTCCAATTCATGTTTCCATGAGAGACTTCAGATTATGCTTCTGCTTCTCTCACTGAAGATTTTAGTCTAACTCTACTAACAGAGAGGGATGTGACATTTCAATCCTTAAATTATAGAAAGGCTCCAACCTGGAGGTTTAAAGGATTCAGGTGGCAGCTGTGAACATTTGCTTAGTTCTAGGCCTCTCTCGGTAACAGCATGGAGACAAGAATCACTTTACTTTCTGCCTCACCCAAAGGGATTTACTTGAATTAAAACTCAGACTGGGAGGGAGGTGGAGAAAGATGGCTGAATAGAACCCTCTAGCAATCTTCCCCCACCCTTCAGGAACACCAAATTGAACACCTATCCAAACAAGAAGGCACCTTCGTAAGAATAAAAAATCAGGTGAGCTATCACAGTACCTGGTTTTAACTTCCTATCACTGAAAGAGGCACTGAACAGGGTAGGAAAGACAGTGTTGAATAGCTGATGCCTCCCCTCCCTCATCCCCTGGGGAGGGAGAGTGCAGTGATTGTGGGACTTTGCACTGGAACTCAGTGTTGCCAGTCACAGCAGAAAGCAACACAGTAAAGAATTCAGCCACCGCCCAAGGAGGGAGTATTTAGATCAGCCTTAGCCAGAGGGGAATCACCCATCCCAGCAGTTGGAACCTGAATTCCGGCGAGCCTTGTCTGCCACCACAGGCTGAAAGCCTCTGGGGTCCTAAACAAACCTGAAAGGTAGTCTAGGCCACAAGGACTGCAATTCCAGGGCAATTCCTGGTGCTGTGCTGGACTTGGAGCCAGTGGACTTGGGGGTCCAAGACCTAGTGAGACACCAGCCAGGGCAGCCAAGGGAGTGCTTCTGTCACTCCTCTTCTAACCCCAGGCCGTGCAGCTTGTAGCTCCAGGAGATTTCCTTCCTTTCCCTTGAGGAGGGGAGAGGAAAGGGGGCTTGGTCTTGAATAAAAAGGACTTTGTCTTACAACTTGGATTCCAGCTCAGCCACAGTAGAATCCCTATTCTGTAGATCCCTAATCTGTACCAGATTCCTGAGGCCCCCATTCCAAGCCCTAGCTCCTGGACAACATTTCTAGACACACCCTGGGCCAGAAGGGAAACTGCTCCCATGAAGGGAAGGACCTAGTTCTGGCAGGATCCATCACCTGCTGACTAGGACCTTGCGCCTTGAATAACCATCAACACTATCCAGGCAGTACTTGCTGTGGGCCTTGGGTGAAACTCAGGGCCATGCTGGCTTCAGGTGTGAACTAGCACATTCTCAACTGTGGTGGCCACAGGTAGAGGCTCCTTCTGCTTGAGTAGAGGAGAGGGGAGAGTAAAGGGGGCTTGGTCTTGCAGCTCGGGTACCAGCTCAGCCACAGTAGGCTAGAGCACTAAGTAGACTCCTGGGGTCCCTGATTCCAGGCCTTGGCTCCTGGATAGCACTTCTGGACTGGCCCTGGGCTAAACGGTAGCCCACCGGCCCTGAAGGGAGAAACCCAGGCCTGGCAATATTCACCACAAGCTGACAGAAGAGCCCTCGGGCCTTGAGTGAACACTGGCAATAGCCAGGCAGGACTCTGCTATGGGCCGGGAACAATGGTGGCCATGAGACTCCTTCTGCCTGAGGAAAGGAGAGGGAAGAATGGGAAGGACTTTGTTCTGTGGTTTGCGTGCCAGCTCAGCTGCAGTAGAATAGAGCACAAAGTAGATTCCTAAGGTTCCTGACCCATGGCCCTGCCCTCAGAAGGCATTTCTGGACCCACCCAGGGCCAGGTGGGGAGCTCACTGCCCTGAAGAGAAGGACACAGCCTGGCTGGATTCAACACCTGGTGACTGAAGAGCCCTTGGTTCTTGAGTGAACATCCAGCTGGGCAGTGGTGGCTGCAGGCCTGGGGCAAGACCCAGCACTGTGCTGAGCTTCAGGTCTGACCCAGTGCAGTCCTAGTTGTGGTGGCAACAGCGGTGCTTGTGTCACCCCTCAACCAGCTCCAGGCAGCTCAGCATGGAAAAAGAAACTGTTTGGGGGGAAAGTAAGGGAAGAAAACGAGATTCCCTGCCTAGTAATCCAGGTAATTCTCTCAGACCTTACCCAAGACCACCAAGATGGTACCTCTGTGAGTCTGCAAGAGTTACAGTTTTGCTGGGCTTGAAGTGGTCCTAATGCAGATAGAGTTGCAGTGACCAAAGACTTAGATCACAATACTCAATTCCCTGTAAATACTTGGAAAGTCTTCCCAAGAAGAATGGGTACGAGTAAGTTCAGCCTTCAAAGACTACGATAAATACGTAACGCTTCAATGTGTAGACATTAATGAACACCTACAAGCATCAAGAACATCTAGGAAAACATGATTTCACCAAATGAGCAAAGTAAGGTACCAGTGACCAATCCCGGAGTGACAGAGATACGTGACCTTCCAGACAGAGAATTTGAAATAGCTGTTTTGGGGAAGTTCAACAAATTTCAAGATAACACAGAGAAGGAATTCAGAATCCCATCAGATAAATTTAACAAAGAGATGGAACTAATTTTTTAAAAATCAAACAAATTCTAATTCAACTGACATACTGAAGAATGCATTAGAGTCTCTCAATAGCAAAATTGATCAAGCAGAAGAAAAAATTAGTGAAATCGAAGATAGGTTATTTGAAAATACACAGAGAAGACAAAAGAAAAAAGAATATGAAAGAATGAAGCACACCTGTAAGATCTAGAAAACGCCTCAAAAGGGCATATCTAAGTTATTGGCATTGAAGAGGAGGTAGAGAAAGATATCAGAATAGAAAGTTTATTCAAAGGGATAATAACAGAGAACTTTCCAAACCTAGAGAAAAATATCAATATCCAAGTATCCAAGAAGTTATCCAAGTATCCAAGATTATCAATATCCAGTATCCAAGAAGGTTATGGAACACCCAGCAGATTTAACCCAAAAAAGACATTTAACAATCAAACTTCCAAAGGTCAAGGATAAAGAAAGGATCCTAAAAGGAGTAGGAAAAAAGAAAGAACACATAAAGGGGCTCCGATACATCTTGCAGCAGACTTATCAGCGGAAACCTTACAGGCCAGGAGAGAGTAGCATAACATATTTAAAGTGCTGAAGGAAAAACCTTTTTTTTTTTTTTTTTTTGAGACGGAGTCTCACTCTGTCACCCAGGCTGGAGTGCAATGGTGCGATCTTGGCTCCCTGCAACCCAACCTCCACCTCCTGAGTTCAAGCGATTCTCCTGCCTCAGCCTCCCGAGTAGGGGGGATTATAGGCGTGTGCCACCACGCCCAGCTAATTTTTTGTATTTTTAGTAGAGATGGGGTTTCACCATGTTAGCCAGGATGGTCTTGATCTCCTGACCTTGTGATCCGCCCACCCTGGCCTCCCAAAGTGCTGGGATTACAGGTGTGAGCCACCGCACCCAGTGAAAAACTTTCACAGTTTATCCAGTGAAAATATCCTTCAAACATGGAAGGAGAAATAAAGACTTTCCCAAAAAAACAAAAGCTGAGGGATTTCATCAATGCCAGACCTCTCCTACAAAAAATGCTAAAGGGAGTTATTCAGTCTAAAAGAAAACGATGTTAACAAGCAGTAAGAAATTATCTGAAGGTACAAAACTCACTGGTAATAATAAATGCATACATAAAAACAGACTATTATAACATTGTAATTGTGGTATGTAAACTACTCATATCGTGAGTAGAAAGATTAAAAGATTAACAAATAATAACTACAATACCTTTTCAAAATAGCATAAGAAGATATAAATAGAAACCACAAAAAGTTAAAAAACAGGAGGAATGAAGTTAAAGTGTACAGTTTTTATTAGTTCTCTCTTTGCCTGTTTGTTTCTGCAATCAGTGTCAAGTTGTCAGTTTAAAATAACATGTTATGTTATTTGCAAGCCTCATGGTAACATCAAATAATAAAATCTACAACACATATACACAACAAAAATGAAAAACAAGAAACTAAAACATACCACCAGAGAAAATAAACTTCACAAAAAGGAAGAAGACAGGAAGGAAGGAAGAGAATACACAACAAATAACAAAAGCCAGCAGTTAAGTCCTTATCAATAATAACACTGAATGTCAGTGGATTAAACTCTCCAATGAATAGACATAGAGTAGCTGAATCAATTTTTTAAAAAGATTCAATTATCTGTTGCCTACAAGAACCACACTTCACCTATAAAGACACTCATAGACTGAAAATAAATAGGGTAAGAAAAATATTCCATATAAATGGAAACAGAAAAAGAACAGGAGTTGATATACATGTATATCAGGCAAAATAAATTTCAAGGCAAAACTTATAAAAAGAGACATGGAAGGTCGTTATATAATCCTAAGCAAAAAGAAAAAAACTGGAGGAATCACATTACCTGCCTTCAAATTATACTACAGAGTTATTGTAACCAAAACAGCTTGGTACTTGTATACAAACAGACACACAGACCAATGGAACAGAACAGAGAACTCAGAAATAAATCCATACATCTACAGTGAACTCATTTTTGACAAAGATGCCAAGAATATACATTGGGGAAAGGACAGTCTCTTCAATAAATGGTGCTGGGAAAACTGGATATTTGTATACAGAAGAATGAAAGTAGACCCATATCTCTTGTTATATTAAAAAATAAAATTGAAATGGATTAAAGACTTAAATCTAAGACCTCAAACTATGAAATTACTACAAGAAAACATGGAGGAAGTTGTCCAGGAAATTGATCTGGGCAAAGATTAATTGAGTAATACCCCAAACAAAAGTAGAGGCAATCAAGCAAAAATGGACAAACGAAATCACAGTGAGTTAAAAAGTTTCTGCAGAGCAAAAGAAAAAACAAAGTGAAGAGACAACCCATAGAATGGGAGAACATATTTGCAAATTACTCATCTGACAAGGGATTAATAACCAGAATATATAAGGAGCTCAAATAATCCAATTTAAAAAATCTAACCATCTGATTTAAAAATGGGCAAAAGATCTAGAAACAGACATTTCTCAAAAGAAGACATACGGTTCTGGGCACAGTGGCTCACACCTGTAAGCCCAATACTTTGGGAGGCTGAGGTGGGAGGATCACTGGAGGCCAGGAGTTCCAGATCAGCCTGGTCAACATAGTAAGACCTCTTTTAATTAGCTGGGTGTGGTAATACATGCCTGTAGTCCTAGCTTATCAATAACCTGAGGTGAAAGGATTGCTTGAACCCAGGAGTTCAAGGTTGCTGTGAGCTATGATTACACCACTACAGTGTAGCCTGGGTGGCAAATCTTTTTGGCCATCTCCAAAAAAATAAAAATAAAAACAATTGTTCTTTAAAGATGACATACAAATAGCAAACAGGTATATGAGAAAGTGTTCAACATCACTGATCATCAGAGAAATGCAAATCGAAACTACAAGGGGATATCATCTCACCCTAGTTAAAATGGCTTTTATCCAAAAGACAGGCAATAACAAATGCTGGTGAGGATATGGAGAAAAGAGAACCCTCCTATACTGTTGTGATAATGCAAATTAGTACAACTACTATGGAGAACAGTATGGAGGTTCCTCAAAAAACTAAAAACAAAAAACAAAAAATTACCATATGATCCAGCAACCCCACTGATAGGTATATATCCAAAAGAAAAGAAATCAGTATATCAAAGAGATATATACACATCCATGTTTACTGCAGCACTATTGACAATAGCCAAGATTTAGAAGAAACCTAAATGTCCATCAACAGATGAATGGATAAAGAAAATGTGGTACATATGTACAATGAAATATTATTTAGCCATAAAAAAGAATAAGATACTACCATTTGCAACAACATGGATGAAAGTGAAGAACATTATGTTAAGTGAAATATGGCAGGCCCAGAAAGACAAACTTCACATGTTCTCACTCACTTGTGGGAGCTAAAAATTAAAACAACTGAACTCATGGAGCTAGAGAATAGAGGCCAAGAAGGGGTGGGTAGACTGGAGATGGTTAATGAGTACAAAAATATAGTTAGATAGAATGAATAAGATCTAGTATTTGATAGCATGACCGAGTGACTACAGTCAACAATAACTTATTGTACATTTTAAAATAACTAAAAGTATAATTGGAATGTTTATAACACAAAGAATGATTTATGCTTAAAGTGATAGATAACCCATTTACCCTGATGTAATTATCACGTATCATATGCCTGTATCAAAATATCTCAAGTACCCCATAAATATATACACCTTCTAAGTACTCCAATTAAAAAAAAAAACCCTCAGATACTACGTCCTATTTTATGAAGAGACAGGTAACCAGAAGACTAGAGTATTAATGAATAAAAAGCCAAATAACAGAAATAAAGACAGCTGAAGATAGGGCTGGGGGTTAAATTATAACCAAAATTAACTGGGATTCACTAATTTTGTAGCGAATAAGGCATTTGCAAGGTAGGTTCCATTCTGTAGTAAAAAATGCAATATAAAGTATGGAATAAGGAGAAGAAAAGATCCCAAAGAAATATCCTAAGATATATCTAAGATATACAGAAGCAGAGCAAAATAAAAAGTGTAAGTGGAAAAGCTTCATAGATACAGTATTTGAACCAATTCTTTATGGATGAGGAAGAATTTCAAAAGCAGAAAAGAAAAAAGAGTATTTCAAGTAGAGAATGAAACTAAGACATATTCTACACCAGCTAAGAGCCCTCATATTATGCTAATTTATACTTTATTCTATAGGCTTTAGTAAGCCAATGGAAGTTTCAAAGCTGGAAAGCGACACAAGCAGGCCTGTATTGTTAGCAGTACTGAACACTGAACAGATGTGAGTGGTGGGAGAAGACTATGTGTGTGTCTAGGAGAGTAGAGGCAACGAGTCCACCTGCAAGAGCCCGGGTGAGAGACAATGACACCTGAGCAGTAGCAGTGCTCATGTGAAATAGGGGATAGACCCCAGGGCATTTCAGAGACAGATTCAGAAGACTTGGTGAATAATAAATATGGGGGCAGAGGTAGAGGCCGTGTGAGGATAACTCTAAAGTTTCTAGATAGGATGACACAGTGGACGACTTTTCATTAGCCGAAGTAGGAAATACAATGAGTTGGTGGGTTTAAAAGAAGATTAAGGTTTTATTCAAACTGAGTAGTGATGCCTTTGAAAAATCCAATCGGAGGTATTCTAGAGACATGTCTGTTGCCCAGGAAAGAGTCTGGGGTAAAAATCTGAGAAACATCAGGTCTGCTTGATGCCAGGGTCCCCTCAGGAAACCTGTGGTAACTCCAGGACAATCTGAAATCTGCAGGAAAGGGTCTGGGGTTGCAGGTAAAAATCTGAGAAGCATCAGTTCTGCTTGATGCCAGGGTCCCCTCAGGAAACCTGTGGTAACTCCAGGACAATCTGAAATTTGAACAACTTAAGTCATAGGAACAGGTAAACTGCTTAGGAAGAGCCACTTTAGGAAGAAGAGAAATGGCCAGTTATAGACTCCTGGAAAATGGCAGGAGAAAGGAGAAATAGTAAAAGACACTGTAAAGAAAAAGAAATAGAGGAGAACCAGAAGTGAATAGAAGACAAAGTTAGAGCATTAATTGTACTCAACCATTTTTTTTTTTTTTTAAAGATGAGATCTCACTATGTTGCTCAGGCTGGTCTCGAACTCTTAGGCTCAAGTGATCCCCCTGCCTTGGCCTCCCAAAGTGTTGGGATTACAGGTGTGAACCACTGCATCCAGCCTAACCATTTTCTTACCAAGTATTGATGGATACTGGTTTCAGACTGTTTTTCAGGTCTGAGTGATTCAACTTGTGTTCTTGAAGTGCAGAAACAATCCTGGAAGTCAGAAATGCATTATATAAGTGAAAAATAAGTTACAGTTAAGCAGGGGTGGTGTGTAGATACAAAAAGGTCTAGTGACTAGAGTGGGGAGCAGAGAGGAAGGGCAACATGCAGGAACCTGGAATTGAAGCCAGGATCCACATCATGGGGGAAGTCAGTGTGGAACAGAAGGGAGAAGTGGCTGGGCATGCAGATAAACTTCATATATGTTAGCATTTCACTTGGTGCTATCACTGATCCTTGCCCTCTTTTCTTGATGTCATAATAATTCATTTTAACTGTTGGTGTTAATTTTTAACTCTGTCTGTCAACACCACTGAGGTTTTCTTCTGAATATTTAGCCAAAGATTATTCTGCTGTATTCATTATAATTATTTTTCTTTTGATCCTCAGCTATCTTCTTAAGTATAGAAACCATGTTTATTCACATTAAGCCACATATTGAGTGAAAAAATAATTATTTTTAAAGGTGATAAACATCTTTAATTACAACTCAAAGCAAATTAAGAGAGACTTACTTTTATCATCACAATTTACATTTTTCTGCATATTTACCCATGGTTCTATTATTATTTATTGCCAATAAAGAAATGTAACACCTACATGTGATTTATCACATCATCAATCAGTGGGGTGAAGCTGACCTTATACTATTTAGGAAGAAAAAGTATGTCAAAAGAAAAGTATAATAAACACATTGTATGAGAGGCTTTTATAACAAGATATTTTCAGTATCTGAAAAAATTTCTTTCTTTTTTTTGAGATGGAGTCTCCCTCTATCACCCACGCTAGAGTGCAGTGGCGCAATCTCAACTCGATGCAACCTCCGCCTCCTGGGTTCAAGCAATTCTCCTGCCTCAACTTCCTGAGCAGCTGGGATTATAGGCGCCTGCCACAATGCCTGGCTAATTTTTTTAGTTTTAGTAGAGATGGGGTTTCACCGTGTTGGCCAGGCTGGTTTTGGACTCCTGACCTCAAGTGTTCCACCCACCTCAGCCTCCCAAAGTGCTGGGATTACAGACGTGAACCATTTCAAAATTTTTCATTTCAAGCATCTTATGGATATTTATTTTTATATACACATTAAGGTACAATTTCAAATGAGTCTCTTAAGATATGTCTACCTATGTCTACTTAACACTTTGTAGTCAATTACTTAAAAGTAAGTTTCCTTTTAAGAAACGTCAGAATTTCTCACTAATCAAACTAGTCATTTTTTCCCAGTTAGCCTATACTGCTGATTATTTTAACTTGAATTCCTACAGTCTGTATACTTTATAAATCTATTACAAAAATTTGGCATATATTCCCACTGTTTGATGTAAAACTCACCCTGAAGAATAGATGCTAACAATGTCAAGATAGCTGTACAACTGATTCCTCTGCAGAGTTTCTAATGGCTTCCTAGGGTGAATAACATTTATAATAAAACAGTTTTTGAAGATTATTACTGCTGTTCATATTGAAAATATCCACCAGCTAGGCAGGACATTTATTTATTGTTTGGTATTTATATATTTTTACATTTAGCTTTAATTTTTCATAACGACCATTAATACCACTGCAAAAGAAGAATTAACAACAGGCCTAAAACTGCTATTCTTAGAAAAGAGCTGCTTATAAGGTTGACCCTTGGCTAGTATCTGGGAACTGGGATTTTGTGGAGGTTCCCTTCATAAGAATCGCTCACTGTGTCTAAACTGTTCGTGCAAATAATATGGTTTATGCTGAACACCTGGCTTTTTTTCTGGGAGACTGGAATTTTGTTACTTGCTAGCAGAGCATGCCTACGTGACAACTCCCCAACAAAAACCTTAAGTCCAAGTCTCTAATGAGCTTCCCTAGTAGACAACATTTCACATGTCCCACCTCTGGGGGAACTGTGCATATCCTATGGGACTCCACTGAGAAAAGATTCTTGAAAGCTTGTGCCTGGTTTCCTCTCAACTTCACCCCACACACCTTTTCCCTTTGCTGATTTTGCTTTATACCTTTTTGCTAATAAATCTTAGCTGTGAGTATGACTGTATGATAAGTTCTTTGAGTCCTTCTGGCAAATCACTAAACCTGAGGGTGGTTTGGGAGAACCCTGACACAGCCCTCAAAATACACTCAAGCATTTAAAGAGCCGTTACCTCTAAAAAATGTGCATCACTTTTTTGATGAAAGAGAATTTAAGACATATTGACCCCATTTTTTTTTCAAAATAAGAGTTGTGATCTATGTTCTCAGTTTATAAAAATACAAAAAACATTTTATAAACTAATATGGCAGGCTTCTATTGCATCATCTTTATATAAAATTTTCACAGCCTAAGAAAGTGATCACTATTAAATATGAAGACAGCTAAAACCAGCCAATACAAGGAAGATATTTTTGCTCTCTCCACCTAAAAAATGTTAGCATGTTCATTAGCTGCCCATATTATACAAATCACAAAATAGTCATATCTTATCCTTCAAAACATTTTTATATCCACACTGCATCAATCAAATGTTGGTGAACATAATAGCTCATGAAGAATCTACAGGCTAATTTCTTTCAGGCAGTATAATGATTTAAAATCATCCAGAAGAAAGCTCCCACAGAACATTTTTGAATATCATTTCTTTGTCCATTATCATAATAGCCAAGTAAAAAGTAGTTAGACCTTATAAAGAAACTGCATTTCTCCTTTGAAAACAGCATTTCTTAGTTCTCAAATAGAGGGTAAAACTTGAATGGGGAGGAATCCTTAAGTAAAAGTATCAACTTTATCCCAATTGCATAAATTTCTCATTTAGGAAAAAAAGTAAATATTTCGATTCAAAGAATTTAAAATATTTCACCACTGCAGAAAAATTGATTTAAAGTTAAAATCATTAACAATATAAATCACCCATAATCACATTCTATTATTTTTCACAAAACCCATAATTATGGAATAATAAGCTAAGACATCCTTTTTCCAAAATTTGAAAACCCTGGGCAACACACAGCCCTTTGAATCTCAGAATCCTCACCTATCAAATGAGGGGAATAGACTAAATGCCCTTCTATATCTTTTCCAACTTGAAAAATTGATACAAAATTGTAAATCTTAAGTAATCCTTTAGAGTAGGGGTCAGCAAACTATGGTCCATGAGCCAAATCTGACCCACCACCTGTTTTTGTGAATAAAGTTTTACTGGAACACAGATACATTCATTCATTTATATATTGCCTATGGCTGCTTTCATGCTAGTACTTCAGCAGAAAAGTAACTGTAACAAAGACCAAAGGGTTTGTAAATACTATCTGGCCTTTACAGAAAAGCTTGCTGATCTCTCCTTTAGAGAATAAGACATTTCACCTCCGTGTATTTTCCAGATATATAAAGCTTCTCTTTCAAGTGGTAAAGCTTTACTTTAAACATATAAGTAATTGTATTATGTATTTTCCATATTACTAACAATACGGTCTTCTAACTTCATAGTTCTGCCTCTCAGCCTTGGTAACTGATAGAATAGATTGGCAGGTATGAGTCCAGCTCCAATTTTTTGCAATCTTGGACAAACTGAAAATGAGGATAATGCCACATGCCCTGCTAAACTTCCACAATGTGAAACTATGAAAGAAATATATGAAAGTATTTGTAAATTATAAATCATCATACAAATATACTCACTTTTTTTTTTTTTTTTTTTTTTTTTGAGATAGGATCTCCCTCTACCACCCAGGTTGGAATGCACTGGCATGATCACAGTTCACTGCAGCCTTCATCCCTCACTCAAGCAATCCTCCCACCTTAACCCTCTGACTAGCTGAGACTACAGACATGTAACACCACATCTGGCTAATATTTTATACAGACAGGGTCTCACTATGTTGCCTAGGCTGGTCTTGAACTCCCGAGTTCAACTGATCCTCTAGTCTTAGTCCCTGAAAATGCTGGGATTACCGGTGTGAGCTACTACACTTGGTCTACTCATTACTTTTTAAAAAGCCACATTTTAATATAAGTATTCCCTATTCAAATATTATTATTATGTATTAAACAGAATGAAAGTCCTCAAGCTACTTAATCTAAAGTAGATACCATGGATCTAAATACAAATAAAAAACCAGTTGGCAGCTATACCTCATATTATACTTGATCCAAATGATTTTATTTTCGGTTAAGTCAAAGGGGTTATTTTTAATACTGTTTGGCTTGCTTTTGGTCAGATGGAAATTTGTAAAAGGAATTTTTGAAAGATTTAAAAGATAAGGCATAGCTAACTGGTGTGGGTGGCATATCGAAGTGTAACACCTATGAGAAAAAGTAGATATGGGACAAAGGATTAGAATAATGAGCATATTGAAGTATACGAGAAGTTCTTTATGAAAGAAAAACTCAATGGAATGTAATTCATTTCCCAAGTCCAGAAGTCAATCAGGTTAAAACAATATCTCAGAGCATAAGAATATCCCATCAGAATATCCCTTTTATTATGGCTTGGCATTAACATCCAACTACTCTAACAGAACAAAATCAGATCTATATTTACAAAAACTTACCAAAAGAGACATTGAATCGCTTTAGTTCATACAGAAAGTGACAAAAATCCATCTATTCCAAAGAAGGCTTTTGTTTTATCTTCCTTTCAAAATGCAGATATATCCTACTAAAAAACAAAAGCAAAATAATTTAGATTCACATAAAAGTTCCTAAAAGAACTAGTTGCCTTAAACCCATCCAATATTTAGGCAGCTATTCCTCGATATCCAATATTTAGGCAGCTACTCCTTGACACAAGGAGACGTTCCTGAAAAGTATCTTTAAAGAGCATTTATTTTTTACTGAACATTATTTGGGATCTGACATGAAAACAAAGAAGCAGAGTGAAAATGAAAAGAGGTTCTAAATATTTTCAAAGCCTCAATATATTTGCATTTCTCCTTCCCTATCTTTTCTATACTGTTTTTTGTTTGTTTTTTAAATAACGCTGAGCAAATTTGAAAGCAATATACAAAACCAATTTTTTGGCCCACTTTATGATATAAACGGTGTCACTTACAATAAACCCCAAGAATTTTCAATGGTTCCACATACTATAACTAAACTCTGAGACTTTCCAAAGCTCTTTCTTATTGGATTAATTACCTCCTAAATCATTTGGGGTCCCTGACCAGCAAATATGGGAGAGAATCAGAGTAACAGACTAGGAAATTAATTCAAGGAGGTACAAAAGCACCATCCACGGTTTCCAGACCTTTACTAATAGAAAGGGTGGCAATCTTGTAAGTTTGTGGGTTCAGAGTATTCCTTTACATCTAACCAACATCATCTCTTTCATCTAAATTGTGCTTCATTATTTCATTTTAATTAAGTCCCCAAATTTGATGAACTCATCTACAAACATGTGAGCAGAATGAGAAAGGGAAGATTTTGTAAACCATAAAAACTATAAAACAATATCCAATTTTACTGCTAAAGAAAGAGGTGAATTTATTCAGGATGTTAACTATGAACCAAAGGTAGAGATTGGGAGGAAGATGGACCTGAAAGGTTGTGATCATTTAGCCTGAAAGGTTATGATCAATTTAAGGCACTGGAGTTAGATGTGCTACAAAAGGAGAAAAGCAATGCCTGCCCTGCCAACCTTCCAGGGTGAATGAGATCAAATGAGTTACATCTTAAAGTGCCCCCTAATTAGCAAACACTGTATCAGCTTGAACTATGCTTTGAAAGGTACACTCAAATGTACTGAAGGCAGTACAAAACAATAAGGCTTATTTGGAAATCAGGTTGTAAAATGTTTCAATAACCATGAAAATATTCATACCTTTTGACCCAGTAAAATTCCCTCGAGTCATCTATTCTAAGGAGATACCCAAGTAAATGAAGAAACTACACACCCAGTCAATACACTGTTAATCTGTAACAGCCAAGTAATCATTACACAAGTGTTTAATGAATGGCTACCATGGGTCAGGCACTGTGGACACCCACTGGTAATAAGGGCGGACAAGGCCCTGGCCACTTGAAGCTGACCTTCTCACAAGCAAAAGGGTTATGGATGTCATGCTTAACCAAATTTTCTGGTTATCATGATTTTGTATCTTGCTTTTTTCACTCAATGTCAGCAAGTTGTTACTGATTTTGTCTTAATAATGTGAAACTCCATTACGTTGTCTTTTTCTTTCTTTTTCAGAAAAGCTCAGAAGAAACAGACACAATCTGTTAAGAATTGTTAGTAATAAAAGGGTTGTCCCTATAGAGTGGTTTAGTCTCGGAGATTTTTGCCTTAGATACACCAGACTACTAAGAGATAATTTTACAAGACATTTTGAGGTCAAGGCAGCAGCTGCACCCAGCAAAGGGGTGGGGGTGGGGGATTTGCTGTTATTATAATTTTCTCTGGCATGCTCTTTCACGAGACATGAATATATACCCTTTCTTTAAAAAAGTCATATTTAAGAGACCTCTATTTCGGAGTGTATTCACAAGTACATCAGTGCAGTCCCTTGCACTTGTATCTAAAATGCTAATTACAATAAAGCTTTATAAGTAATTTCAGTTTGTTCCATAATAGAATCGTTCATGTGAAGACTTTAATCTGAAAGATTAACACTTTCTGTAGAAATCAAAGGTCGCATCTTCTTACAGAACACAGGCTTTAAGTTAATTTAGGCATTCAACAGAGGCCACTGTTACAGGGAATGCAAAAATGACCCGATGTAACTGTCTTTGTTGAGCTTTAAAACTACTGTAATTTTCAAAGTGATCTTGGGAACCTGTAAAATCTTAACAAAAGATCATAGCGACGCACAGCTCGGGAGATTTTTCCAAGCTTAGTGACTCATGCTTTCAACAAATCTTTACTGAGCGCCTACTGTGTGCCAGGCACCGTGCTAGGAAGGCGCCGTGTTACACATCCTCATTAAGTTTTGGGGAAAAGGTACTTGACAACAGACCCAGCAGGGAAAAACACAGGGTTGAACTGAAAAACGGAAGACAAAACGACACTCGAGTATTTGATTTTGTAAAAGGTTCCTTCCTAGTCCTGCTTTGGGGGACTTTGGAGCGAACTTGCAGAAGGCGGCAGATAGAACTAGGGTCTGAGGGTGTCTTTGGTGTGGCAACTCGCCAAGCCCAAGAGAGCGGCCAAAGGTGACGGCTGCGGGGAGAGGGCGCCCGGGAGGCCTGGGCCCCGCGCACCTGGCACGGCCAACCCCTCAGGGACCACTGGGCGGATTGAGAACGCGCGGCCCGGGAACCCGCTGAGCCTGAGCTGCACTGGCGCAGTAGCCGCTCGCCACGCCGGGCCGCATTCTTGCCACGGCTCCGCCAGCCGCCGGTGCTCGGCCTGGAGGTGGGCTAGCGCGTTCTGGCCTCGGGCTTCCCGGGCGTGCGCGGACCAAGGCTCACTCCCTCACGTCCCCCACCGGCCCCGACACCTTCCCTTCCCGGGCCTGCCTCCCGTCGTTACCCTAGCGGCGACCACGGCCAGCGACTCTCTTCAGGCTGCCAGCTGTGCGGACAGGGGCGGGCGCCAGAGCCCTGCTCGCGGAGGGGCTAGGCGAGCGTTCTAGGCCCGCTCCCGGCGCGGGGCGCGGGAGGGCGGCGAGGCCGCGACCGGGGCCGTGGGCTTGGAACTCTGCCCCAGACCCAGGCTACCCGCTGGGAACGCATTCGCCCCACCCGCGCCGGGGTCGCGGCCCCGCCTCCCTCCCTGGGGCTGGGCAGCGAGAAGGCGGGGCCTTCGAGCTTGGGGCGGGGCGGACAGGAAACTACAATTCCCAGCAGGTCTTGCGCTGGGGCCGTGGAGGCCGCTGGGAGAGTGGGTCTCCTTTGGCTTCCCCAATTGTGTAGGGGCTGCCAACGACCTGGTGTCGCCGCAGAACCTAGGTCGCCGAATGATGATGTTGTGAAGTCGCCCGCCTGTCCCTGCCACGCCCGGGCGGTTGCTGGCAGTGGGAGCAGCGGCGGCAACTTCGGCTGCTCCTCTCAGGCTGCCGCTGCATTAGGGGCTTCCTGAGGAAGCGCGGGCGGAAGACAGAGGATGCCGAGCCACTTCAGTGAGTAAGCTATCCGCGCACAACCCGAACTTGCCCTTGACAAGTTCCCCGGAAGGCGGAGGGACCTCCTTGTCTTGAGCTCCTCCGGTCCCCGGAGGTCACGCGCCCACGCCGGAGCCGGAGGCTGGGTGCTGGAGGGCTGGGTCCGGGTCCCGCGGTGAGGAGTGGGTTGTTTCCTAAGTGTGGGTGCAAAGTGATGGGCGCTGGGCGCTGGCGTCGGGATTCAGTCCAGCTGCACATCTGAGGCTTGGCAGCTTCTCATAGCGCCTTATCCTCTGCCAGACAGCATCCATCTGGAGCCCCGTCTTTTGGGATGAGTGGCTTTAGGGTCGGGCATTAAACCTTAAGCCTCAGTCGCCATTTGTGATGTGAGTGGGAGGAGAGGGTATTGGAAAGAGCTCTTTCTGGGTCAAATAGAGTTGGGCTTTTCTTGCAATTGATTTTGAGCCAGATGCCACATATCTTGAAAAAGAAAAACGACTGACTTTGGTTTGAAGCCTAAGTAATAGATCTTGGCACATGTCCTTTTTAGTACCAGCCCCAAAATAGTCTTTCAACTTAAAAAAAAAATCTGCGTCATAATAATAGGGATAAGTTCAGTTACTTGCTCATTCACCTTTTGCTTAGACCTGCTGTTTCTACGTCAGAAAAAAAAAGAAAAAAGATAAAAGTAACTTCACAGGAAATTCATCAAGTTGATGGAATGGACCATAGGAACAAAAGGAACACTTTCAGTTGTTGGTCTCCGTAAATTTTCCCGACCTTTAGATCTTTGCTGTTGACTTGGAAGTCTGAGGTACAGTAGTCTCCAAATAGCACGTTAATGGTGGTGACATGACACTTAAAAACAAATTGTGAAGGACAGTTGGTGGTGAGAAAGGTCAGGGATGAAGACACTTTACAATCCCAGCAGTTATTCCAGCTTTTCTTTTTTATTATTATTATTAATTTTTTTTTTTTCTTAAGACAGAGTGTCGCTCTGTCTCCAGGCTCGAGTGCAGTGGGCTGATCTCGGCTCACTGCAACCTCCGCCTCCTGAATTCAAGCGATTCTCCTGCCTCAGCCTCCAGAGTAGCTGGGACTGTAGGCGCACACCACCACGCTCAGTTAATTTTTTTATTTTCAGTAGAGAGGGGGTTTTACCATGTTGGCCAGGATGGTCTTGATCTCTTGACCTCATGATCCTCCCGCCTCGGCCTCCCAAAGTGCTGGTATTACAGGCGTGAACCACTGTGCCCAGCCCTAGCTTTCTATTTTTAAAATTAAGTGATGTCCAACAAGTCTCAGACATTTAACAAGCACATACCATGTGAAAGACAGTGTTTTTGTTATCTTACAGACTTATTGATATGATGGAAGAGGTTTGTTAGAAATAACCGACATTTGGCCGGGCGCGGTGGCTCATGCTTGTAATCCCAGCACTTTGGGAGGCCCAGGTGGGCAGATCTCCTGAGGTTGAGAGTTCAATAACAGCCTGACCAACATGGAGAAACCCCATCTCTACTGAAAAAAAAAAAAAATACACCAGTCTGGCCAATATGGTGACACCCCTTCCCTACTAAAAGTACAGAAATTAGCCGGGCGTGGTGGCACGTGCCTGTAGTCCCAGCTACTCGGGAGGCTGAGGCAGAATAATTGCTTGAACCCGGGAGGCAGAGGTTGCAGTGAGCCAAGATTACACCACTGCACTCCAGCCTGGGTGTCAAAGCGAGACTCCATCTCAAAAAAAAAAAAAACATTAGCCAGGCATGGTGGCACCTGCCAGCAATCCCAGCTACTCAGGAGGCTGAGGCAGGAGAATCGCTTGAACCCAGGAGACAGAGGTTGCAGTAAGCCAAGATCGAGCCATCGCACTCCAGCCTGGGCAACAAGAACGAAATTCCGTGTCAAAAAAAGAAAAGACAGAACCAACATTTTAGTATTTGCAATCTGCCAGGCACCCCAGGTGGGAGCTCTTCATACTTTAGCTCAATCACTTCAACAAACCTATCGCACTAATCTGAGGCTCAAAGACTTGCTTATGTAACAAGGGGAGATTTAAATCTAGATCTGCCTTGCTTCAAAGTCACAGATCAGGTAACTAATATGTACTTCAGAAATTACAGACTTTAAAGGTTGAGTGGTTAAAGAGGATTGTTCAGTGTTATTGTCTAAGACTGGTTCCAACACACACCTTGGACATCTGGAATAAGTCCTGAACCCCTGCTTTAGTACTTTTGAGCAAACTGATTCTCTCTGCCTACAATTCCCATTTCTTACTGAACTGCTCAGTAAGACCCTAAAAGCCCATTCCAAATCCATCTCACTTATGTAAGAAATTATAAGACTGGACTTTTATCAAAAGGTTCTTTCCAGTTAACAGGTTTTGTGAGTCTGCAAATAAAAATATGACCCTGCTGGGCATGGTGACTCACACCTGTAATCCCAGCACTTTGAGGGCCCGAGGCAGGAGGATGGCTTGAGACCAACCTGTTCAACATAGCAAAACCCCATCTCTACCAAAAATAAAAATAAAAAACAGCTGGGTGTGGTTGTTTGTGCCTGTAGTCCCAGCTACCTGGGAGACTGAGATCAAAGGATCCCTTGAGCAATTATGGCGCCACTGTACTCCAGCTTGAGTGACAGTGAGATGCCATCTCTAAAAAAAATTAAAATATGAGTGGAGAAGTGTTATTCTCCACTGAAAGTTTCTTTGTTTTAGTGCCCCAAATATGCTAAATACTAATATAAGGAATGAGACAGATAATGTCTTATTTCATGTTTATTTTGAGCTCTGATTATATCACCTGTACCAGTTTTGAACTTCTTTAGTCATCATCCTGTTTAGTTGGTAAGAAATAGGAGGCAAAAAGGTAATAGTCACATTTAAATGACTTAGTAATTAAAGGAACTAAATTATTCATAGTTTAGTCATTATCTGTTCAGATCTGCAGTGTTCTTATAATAATAGGAAACATTTATATAATACTATGTGCTAGATAATCTTTTACCTATATTAAGTTATCCTCACAATAGCACTGAGGTATTTTTATACATAGGCAACTAAAGCAAAGAGAGGATAGTAAATATACCAAAGGTCATGCAGCTACTAAATGGTAGTATTGAGTGTCACAGCAGACAAGATCAAAATCTGTAGTCTAACAGTTATTGAGCACCTACACAGCTGGGTGCTTTCATTATAAGTAGATCATTTGTCTTTATAACTACTTTATTTAAAATGGAAGTTCAGCATTTAATGACTTGCCCAGACTCACAGATAACTAAGCTGTGGAACCAGGATTTGAACCCACGTTTGTCGTACTTCAAGGTTCATGTTCTTTCTTTCATTTCCCTTCAATGATCAAATCTTTGTTAAACACCTTCTGTGTGCCACACACTGTGCCAATGCTAGGAATTTAGTCTTTGCCCTTAAGGAATGTAGTTTGAAGAAGGAAAGAGATAATTAACGTGGTGTGTTGAGCAATAGAATCACAGCTTGCAGAGGTACTTTGAGAGTGCAGAGAAGGAACACTGAAGTTAGCCTGGAGTGGGAAGGCTTGGACCAGTCTTGGGAAAAAAGATGGGAATTAGTCTGGGCACAGAAAAGGGGAAGGGGATATTATGGGCTGAATTGTGTCCTCCCAAAATTATGTTGAAGCCCTAACACCCATAACCTCAGAATGTGACTGTATTTGGAGACAGGGCTTTGGGGTGATTAAGTTCAGATGAAGCCATTAGGGTGGGTTCTAATCCAGTCTGACAGTTTTCCTTATAAGAAGGAAATCTGAACACAAAAAGAGACTCCAGAGTTGCACACACAAAGGAAAGACCATGTGAGGGTTCATTAGGAAGACCAAGAAAAGAGGTCTCAGGAGAAACCAACCTGCCAATACCTTGATTTTGGACTTCCAGCCTCTAGAATTGTGAAAAAATAAATTTCTGTCGTTGAAGCCACCCAGGCTGTGGTATTTTTTTATGGAACCCCTAGCAAACTGACAAATAGGTGTTCTAGGCAAAAGGATTGACATACAAAAAGCCTTTAAGCTGTGGTTAGGTGATCGAGGTAGACATGCACGATGCCTTTAAGCTGTGGTTAGGTGATTGAGGTTTTTTGGTGAGGAGATAAATGTTGAGAGAAATGAAACGAGATGAGGCTAGGGCCGGATTAGGAAGATTTTACGTGAGATACCAAGGGACTTAAACTTTATCCTAAGGAAGATGGGATGGAGGTGGTTTGTAGCAGTGGAAAAGCATTAGATTTGCATTTTAGAAAGACTTAGACTTGTAAAGGATAAATGAAAGGTAATAAGACTGGAGACAAGGTAACCAAGGTAGCTAGTGCCACAGGACGCAGAACTAACAGTTTTCCCAGAATATTGAAATGTCTAACTAAAACAGAGCCACTGTTAATATAAGATTATAAAGGACACAGCTAACCCTTAGAGTATACGTAAGAAGATATATAAAGAATTTGTATATAGCTGTTTGTACCCAGAGGCTGTCTTTATTTTGACATTTTGCTTTTCCTTATATAGATCATAAAGCTTTCCACAACTATCAGAATATTCAGTATTTTTCCACCATAAAAAGTGATCTTATGTGTTTAATAGACACTTTTATGGTGCTGACACACATGTAAGCCAAATTCTCTGACAACCTT